CGGTATATCAAAGGCAAAGATTATTATTATCCAATTTCCCAAAACATCCCTTCTACCTCTAAAACTGATAGCATTGAATCTTTTCGTAAATAAATATAGTCAATTTAATTTTCAACATTTCCTGTGAAGAGCTTTGAGACATCTCAATGACATGATAAGGCGCTATAATAATATTCCTTGTATTTGTTATAGCGCCTGATCACATCTTCGAGACGTCTGAAAGCGCTTCACAGAATATATTGTAAAATGAATTGACTGTATACTTTGTGGGCGAAACGCGCACAGCAGTGTCCCACAAACAGTCAAACAACTAACTCAAATATAAGGATTATTATTATTTTAACTGCCTCGAACTTGCTTCATTGTTTGAGGTAATTATCATGGAACAGACAAAACATAAGGCACCTCAGCACACACACACACATACACACACATGTTGGTTTATATTATATGTTTGTGTGTGTATGTGTGTGTATGTGGCTTATTTCCTGTTGGTTATATTAAATAGGATGTGGTTTTCAACACATGTACTGGAATGATTGAAACAGCTGGTGTGAATTTTGCTTTGCCTTAAGAAGAATCATTGTGACTGTGAATCTAATCGTGTGATACAGCATTCAGAGGTATTATAAATACAACACAAAATACAAAATTACATTGGTATAGCGCCTTTCACATTGGGAGGACATCCCAAGGCGCTGGACAGTCAGGGCTCAAAGATTATGTTAGAGGAAGTCACTGACTGGTGTAGAGGTCTTATCAAATGTTATTAAAATTATATGAACTGAAGCCGAGCTCAGTTGGAAGAATTCTTGCCTCTGGGCCATAAAGTTGGGGATTTAAGTCCCAGATCAGGACTTTGAGGTTATAGGCCAGGCTGACACTCGGATGTTAAAGATCTCATGGTGCTGTTTGAAAAGAGAAGGGCATTTGTCCCAGAGGCCTGGCTACCAACCCTCTAACTTAATTTGGTGATTCACTTCACGGCTGTATGTGGAACATCGCTGTGCGAATTTGTTGGAATATTTGCCTACAATTTGCAGAAGCTTTGTGAAATGGTTTGCGATGTTATAGGCACTAGAATCAAATAATACGTACACGCACTGAAAATGCATCCCTGATGTTGCGTATTTTCGGAATATTTTTGTGATGTGGCGGGAAGTTTATTTCCCTCCCAACTCACAGCAGGGAGGAAAACTCCACTTTCCGTGTTTTACTGATGATGGTAAATTTCATTTGGCTTCTCTCTACGGTGCAATTTTTTAACAAATGGAGTAAATACCTTGAAAATCCTTGAAAACTCTGGGCTGCCCTAGCTTTGCAGAAAACATCTGTCAACTTCAGCCTCGTCTCTTAACGGCTTTGATGATTAATCATTGACAAGCATTGATATCGCCAAACTGCAAAAACGGAGATATTAAGCTGTATTCAGCAGAAATTGCAGCTTTGATTTTCTCTTGCGCTTACGGTCACGATTGAACTAAGACAGACTCAGAGTGTTTCACAGGATACATTGTGAAAGGTAATGACTGTATGTTATAGGTAGCGAGAAGAATAATAGGAACAAACAGAGTTGAGCCTAGATTCTGAAATCTGGACAAAGAATGATGGAAACGATTTGCTGACTTTTAACTTTAATGGCCATTTTTTGTTTGGTCTTATACTTGTGGAGACCCATCGCCGTACTTAAGAGTATCCTACCAGACTAAGAGTTCTGCATAATGTCTACCACCTACACATGGACATGTCCCAATTATCTAGAATGGAAGAGACTTGGAGGGACTTATCTACCTCTATGCGCAGTCAAGCCACTCTACAGCATATCCTGCGAAGCGCTTTGAGACGTCTCATGAGACGTAATGAGGTACTATATCAAAGGCAAGGATTATTATCACAGCAAAGCACGATTCCACCACCACAACAATGGGTTTGGGATTTGTGTCGCTCGATAGTTTTGCTAAGCATCTCAGCCGTTGCCCTGACACTGTATTCAGTTCATCCTTAAACTCTTGCATTCAGGTGGCGTTCCTCTTGCTCATACACACCGGGTTAGATTATCAATCAAATTTCGATTTATTCTCCGATCACAAACACACACACAAAAGAAACAACAGATGGATTTATCGGGGTTACAGGAGACAGTGACGAAATGAGGCGTTGACTAAAAATTGGGCGTGAATGAAGGCTGAAATGCCTAATCTGAGCGCAGAGGTTTATCGTAGGTGAGGCTGCTCCTGTTAAGAATCGCCGGTGTGGCAATTGCAACCGTCTTTTAGCATTACAAGATTTAATCTTATAATTTGGGGAGAAAGTCAGCAACTATTACAACGAGCGACTCTATTCCAATGACGAGTGCAACCCGTGGCACTGCAAACCACTATTGCCGGTGGAAGGTGCTAAGCAGAGGTCTGGCACTTCTCCACAGGGAGAGGAAAACTGTGACGCAGAGACACGACACCTGTTTAAACGCTGTTGATTGATGTAACTTTGTAGGGGCATTATGCCAGAATTGACGTGTGCTGATTGAGTGGTGATCAGTCAGGGTGTAGTAGGGCATAACCATCACTCAAAAGACCCAGATTATTGGCAGTAACTGGCCGTTTAAGTACATTGTAAATTATAGATGTCATACTCAGCCGCCTTACAAGCTGTGCTGTAGTTCTCTCATACTGAGAACTCAAGTGCAGATGTTTATCTACAGTGGAGCTGTTAAATGCTTAAGTGACCCATTCCTCGACACATATCAACCTGTCCGCTCCCTCTGCTCAGCAGGCTCCGGCCTGCTCCACGCCACCCGCCCGCCTGCCCCACCATTAGCGGTCAGGCCTTCAGCCTCTCTGCCCTCACCCTTTGGAGCACCATCCCACACTCCCTTCGCTTCATTCCCTCCCTTACCTCCTTCAAGGCATGTCTCATGAAGCCCCTCTTCAATCATGCCTTTGGCCACCCTCCGCCTCTCCAATCCCAACCCCCAGCTCAGGTCCAAATGTCCAGCGACTTGGGATGTCCTCCCAACGAGAAAGGCGCTATACAAAAGTAACTTTGTATTTTTATGTTGATGTCAGCCTGGCTCAGTTGGTTGAACTCTTGCCTCTGAGTCGGGAGATTGTGGTTGTGTGTGAGTCCCATATCAGGACTTTGAGGATAAACCGTCATTCATAGAATCATTGAATCCTACAATCCTACAGGAGGCCATTCTGCCTATTGTGCCTGTGCCGGCTCTTTGAAAGAGGTATCCAATTAGTCTCACTCCCCTGCTATTTCCCCATAGCCTTACAATTTTTTTTTATTTTCAAAGATCTATCCAATTCCCTTTTGAAAGTTATTATTGAATCTGCTTCCACCAGCCTTTCAGGCAGGAGAGAAAAATGTTCTTGTTGGAAGGACGTCTCAAAGTGTTTCACAGAATTCACTGGAAAATGGCCTGACTATGTATTCTGTAGGCCAAGAGTGGCCAACCCATGGCCCACGGTCCGGATGTGGCCCTTGGGGGCCATCAAGAATTGGCCCGCCGAACATTCGCACCAGTCTAGGTGAGTCTGGTTTAAATCAATGTCCTGTTTCCAGTTTTTTCTTGCTTGAATATTTCGTGATTTGTGGGCATAAATCAAGAAACATTCAATCAAGAACATTTATTCGTTTTTGGCCAAACCAAAATAGTTGTAGGCCAACGAGGCAGTCAATTTGCGCACAGCAATTTCCCACAAACAGCCATCAAGAGAATGGCCCAATTTTATCTGAGGGATTATTGGCAAGATATCAGAGAAACTCCACTCCCTTCTTTTTTCGAATAGCAACATGGGATCTTTAACGTCCACTTGGACAGGCAGACAGGACCTCGGGTTAAAGTCTCATCTGCCGGACGGCACCTCTGAAAATGCAGTGTGCCTTGCCTCCTCCCCTCACCACCCAGCACTGCATTGGAGTGTCATCTTAGATGAGGTGAGCTCACAGTCTTGCTGGGTGGGTGGGGGACGGTTGATTACAGAACCTTTTGATTCAGAGCCAAGGATGTTCCCAGCCAGGCTGACAGATCGTCACTGGAGAAAAGACTGAGAGAAGAGGTGCTTCAGGTTTGGAAATGCTGAGAGCAATACTGAGAGTCGATGAAATCAGGTTAATTAATTTGGGACTTAACACAGAATTAGAAGATGTGGCTACAAAATTAAAGAGCCGCAAACGAGACGCGAGATTAGAAGGATTTGTTTTTGTTCCATTCAAAGGCGGGTACGTGTTCCAGGTCAAACGGTTAATGCTGCGTCAATTAACCTCTTTCTAAAAAAAAAGTTGGATGAATATTACATTAGTTGCACGACTGGAATCTATAGGGATATATACAGACAGGGATGATCAAATGCTTTCTGAGCTAGGATTGTGGACATGATGTCTCCCGCGGTTACTGAAGCAAGGTCCATCAATTATTTCAAATGGGAAACGAGAAATATATAAAGGCTGTGGAGAGTGAGCAAGCTGAGCGGCATAAAGTTAGCTGGGGAACAAAACACTGTAGAGTTGATGGGCTGAATATTCTTTGTGGCCAATATTCTTTGCTCCCAAGAAGGAACTACATTGTCAGAGCTGGTAGTGCTTCAGATTAAATGTTTGCCTACACACTACACAGTCACTACACTCTACAGTAAGCGCTTTGAGATGTCCTTCAGACATCTCAAGTGAAAGGCACTTCATCAAATGCAAGAATTATTATCAATAAACCTCGGTCCCATCTGCCTGCTCAGGAGGACGGACATTAAAGATCCTGTGTCAGTGAATTTCTACCAAGACACCTTGGCCAATAATCCCCCAAATAACAAGAATCATCGTTCACTTCATGGTGTTTGGGGGGGAGCATTGCTGTGTGCGTAAATGGCTGCTATGTTTATCTACACAGTCACTACACTTTACAGTAAAATTCTATGAGGTACTTTTTGATGTCATAAGATGCTGTATCGAATGTGGTATCGTTTGCATTCTGGTTAACATGTCATTGGGACAAACACCAATTCAAAATGCAATATCAGTTTAATCGGTGTTTTATGTGTGGATGAAATACATTGCCACAAAACCGTCTCAGAAACCTGGACAGGGCAGGAGCGTTTGCAGCACATCCTCTCGGACAGTCCCAGAACCACAAAATTTAAAGCTGTAAAATAAAAGAGAATTCCACGTTATCTGCCAAGACCGGATCGGACAAAGAAGGCAAAAAAATAGACATTTTTCTTAGTGCCTATTTCTCCTCGTCCTTCCACAATATCGCTCCCCATCCCCACCTTGACCGTCTTTCTGTTAAACCACCTTTTGCATTTAAACAACCGACTTTAGTCTTGACTCCTACAGAGAAACCCTGTTACAGCACAATCAATTCGGTCAATATCTCAGACTTGCATTATAAAAGAGTCTGGCTTCTGGGATGCCACGTTGTGCCAATGTCACATCCTTGGCATCAGCAGAGCTTTCTGCGCTTGAGTGGTGGCATCCACAACATCAACACTGCTTCCTGCACGTACGCAGGTTAGGCACAGGAAGTACCATCAACAGTGACCTAACAACCTGGAAGTTGCCATTTGTTAGTGTCTGGAAGACGGGTTCACACAGTAGATTCACACTGTCAGCAAATCCACACTCAGTCAGGGTGTGGGTGGAGAGGAAAGGATGCTCAAATGGGCTTTGTTCTGTATTAACTAGTCCTGGGCTGTGCCTTGTAGAATCACCTGAACGATCACCGATGCCAAGTCGCAATGCTTTCCTCTTTGAAGCCCGTAACAGCAGCACAAAAATGTAATTTTTTTTACACACTTTGTGCAATTATCGGATTGGTGAAAGTGGCTTAAATCGATGGCAAAAGACAGATAGTTTGCCTTGTGATGGGAACAAGAAATGAAATCACTTTCATGAATCCATATAACTCTTGCACTGTACAGACACAGATCTCAGTTTACAAACTGATAAATATGTAAATCAATGGTTAACGCAAGGGCCAGTTCTCTGATGATATAACTCTGAATGATCAAAGTGACTTGTACATATCTACTGTGAAATTGTAAGCTTATGAACAAATTAATAATGAGGATTTTTACGTATTTACCCTAAATAAACTTACGTTTTGTTGTCAGACCGTCTAATCACCGTTATAGTTTCTGCTCCAACTTTTGGGCGAAAAATATTTATCACGCTATTATTCCAGAGAAATTTGACTTTAGTGATCTCCTCTACATCCACTTCCACGTCAATGTAACCGATGTATGTTTTTCCAGACTGCAAATAAGATCTGCAAAACGAAATAAATTATCCAGTCACAGCCTTCTAACCAGATATGGCCGACAATGTAATGCTCTGAGACACCGTCCGGCATGAAGGGCACTATATAAATGCAAAGTGTTGTTGTAGTAATGGTCTGTGATCCCATCATCCCATCCCATCATCCCCATTCTTGCCCCTCTCCAATGGCTCCCTATCTCCCTACGGATCAACTTTCGGTTCATCGTCTCCACCTTCAAATGTCTCCGTGACTTTGTCCCATCCCACCTCGGTGATCTGTCACCTGACTGTCCTCCACTCTGACAACTCTGGCTTCCTTCATGGCCCCCACCCACACACCCACCCACCCCACTCTGCTCTATCATCAAATGAGCTTTTAAGCCGCATGGTCCTTCTTATTCCTTCAAATTTTAAAAAAATAATAAATTGGTCACTCACTCCACGACTGTTTGTGGGACGCTGCTGTGCGCAATTGGCTGCTGTGTTTCGCCCACAAAATATGCAGTCAATTCACTCTACAGTATATTCTGTGAAGCGCTTTGAGACGTCTCGAAGATGTGATGAGGCGCTATATCAAATGCGAGAATTATTATTATTTGAATTCCATTCCATAATAATAACAACAATAATAATCATTGCATTTGATACAGCGGCGTATCAAGTCATTGAGCCGTTTGCAAGCGCTTCGCAGAATAAAATTGGAAGTTACTGGAAGTCCACGGCTAGGCAGGGAAAGCCAGGTTACAACAACAACAACAAGATTCCATTTATAGAGCGCCTTTCACATCGGGAGGACGTCCCAAGGCGCTGAAAGGTTAGTGTTGGACCTTCATCAGGTACTGGAATACTGGTCGGGAGAAACTTCAACGATAGGAAAGAAAATAGTGAATAGGACGAAAAAGCCAGAGCAAAAGGAAATTAATAAAGCTTCGCTTTGAAATTCCTCTGAGTGTATTTTTTGTTAAATTTAGCCTGAGCTAAGGGCTTTTTCTATCAGTTCTGGTGAGCAGCTATCATGAACGTGCAGCATATCTTTCATTTCACACGCTGATCCTCCTATTGTAGAAATTCAGCAGTTTCTGTTTTTGTTTCGGATTTCAATTCTTTTTTCCCCCGTCTCCTCTCTACACCAACCGACTGAACCGTCCGTCCTGTCATACATCAATGGCAATAAAGGTTATCAAATCTTCTGCCGGGACCTTGATAAACTGTTGATGTAACCGCAAACTTACTTCGTGATTTGATACTGTCGTGTGTTGCTGTTGGAACCATACAGGGCGACATTGAAGAAACCGTTAACATTAGAAGTGGTGGTAATTTTAACAGCTACCATATGTCTCCAGCCTGTTGTGAATAATCGGAAGCAGTGAATTACTTTTCTCTATTAAACATTTCAACCAAGTAACACGTCTTAAAAGCAATTTTATTCAAAAAAAATTACTTGGTGAATTCGAAATATAGATATATATATATATACGTACGTGAAAATGGTTTAGCATCGCCAGTGTTCAGATAAAATTTGGGTTGAGCAACGCCGTTTGTGAATGGATAGATATCGGCAAAGTGGCCCATTAATGGACATCCTTCAGATGCACAACTGCTGCACGATCCCTGTGTTTTTATGAAAACAAAGCAGACTTTAGGGTCTAAATTGCAGTGATTCATAATAGGAGTCGTTAATATAGGCTCCAAGTTTCTGACAAGAAACCTTTCCGTTGGTAACTGAAGGTCTGTCACTCTGACGCAGAAGATTAAGAGAAACTGCTTTCTCTGGTGGGGGAATCCAGAACAAGGGGATGTAGCCCTAAAATTAGAGCTTGGCCATTTAGGAGTGAAATCAGGAGGCAGTACCCAAAAGGCTGTGGATGCTGGATCCATTCATATTTCCAACACAGAGGAGGATAGATGTTTGTCAAGTCAGGGTATTAAGGGATATGGGGCAAGGGCGGGTAACTTGATTTGAGGTACAGATCAGCCATGATCCTATAAAATGACGGACAGACTCGAGGGGCTGAATGGTATTAGGGGTATAGAGCGGGAATGACGTGGGTTGGTGTGACCGGTTTCTGCTTATCATCGGTATTCCCTGTTGGCAACCCAAAGTGTCTATGGGCTATTGCCCCTTGCTACAAATCGTCGCAAATTATAAAGCCACGTTTCACTGACTACTTCTTTCTTTTATCAAACAATATTTATTAATATTTATCAATACGGCCACAGAACCATTTGACTTAGCATTCACAGGAGCATTTAGAGCCAATAAATATTTTTTTTCTGTATCAGATACCATTTGCATATCAGTCAATGCAGCCTTTCTAGTAATACAAAATCCCTGTAGCAGGATCATGGATGAAATAAAGTGCTCCAAATGGCAAATCAGCCGCAACAAAGAGCAGCCACTGGAATAACTGATGATAATAACGTTATTCAGCTTTAGCTGGTGGTGAAGGTTCACAGACACAATAGTTAAAACATGATAAGCTGCTGAATGCCATTTAAGCTAAAACTGGTGCGACGGAATACTTGTGGAATATATTTCACAATGACTAAATGCTTGTCCATTTTAAGCTCCTGTAAGTGGTTTCCTGACACGATGCATCTGTTTGCTTTTAAGTCCACAGCTCTTGTGAAAGTCATCAATCAGAGGAAATCTTTACATACAGACGTCACAAATAAGCTGTGCTATAAACGACCTGCTCTGTTTCGTCGCATCGACAGGCAGCATCTAGGAAGAGAGAGGTCAGTAAGTTAACATTTCAGGTCGATCACCTTCTGTCAGAACTGGGGTTCTGACGAAAGGTCATTGACCTGAAACGTTAACTCACTTTCCTCCCTCTCTCTCCGTAGATGCTGCCTGACCTGCTGGGTGTTCCGAGCGACTTCTGTTTTCATTACTTTAAATAAATATTGGTATGTAAGACTACTATTGAAAAGGTGCTTGAAGACTGATCTGTCACAGTGCACTGTTCCTAAACCCCCACTTCCCAGCCCTGTGTTAATTCTTCATTATCGAAGCACGTCCTAACTCTGGAATGTGCACAATGGTACGCGAGCCATTTGAATTTGGGAACAATACACTCCTTGAGGACTATGAGCAGCATGTGAAGTGGAGACTGTTTCAGAGAAGGAAAGGCACACAAAGGAAGACTGGATTTGAAACCGTATCTCGCACACTTTGGTAGCTAGGCCCACCTTTAGACGCAGAGAAGAATACCAATAGTTGGGGACACTTACTGCTGAAAAGTCTTCGTAGTTGTCGCATGGAAAACCAATAAATCCTTTTTTGGTTGTGATGCTCTCACTGTAATACTTGTAAGATCGCAAGTGGTGACATGCTGCAAAATCCCGAGTCCCTGAAAATAGTTAAGAGTTGGTGCGGTTTCCCACTGAGTTCGATCAAGTTCAAATGGGATCATTTAAATTGTGCGTTTCGCCCTCAAAATATACAGTCACTTCACTTTACAGTATATTCTATGAAGCGCTTTGAGATGCCTCAAGGATGTGATGAGGCGCTACATCAAATGCAAGGATTATTATTATTATTATCAGACCTCTGACCACCTGCATGACAGATACAATATGATATAAGTTTAGAATTACATGTGAATTTATATTGTAATATAAATATCACATGTAAATATATTTATAGGTAAGTATATTTATATTTACAATACATATCAATTTACATTTTGCTCGGGTCCAAATCCCTGACCATCCAGCACCTTGGGACATCCTCCCGACGTGAAAGGCGCTGTACAAATGCAATTTGTTGTTGTTGTGGTTTCTTAGCATAGAGGGACATCCCGAGGAACTTAACAGTCCTGGCACCTGAGCTGGGGTGTGGGAACCGAGAAGGGTGGGGAAGGGGAAAGATGACCAGAAGTGTGGTCAAAGTGGTCGGTCTTGAGACGGATCTTGAAAGAGTGAGGTGGGAGGCTGCAGGACTCCGGATTGGCACAGCTGATAACAGGGGGTACATAGGCTGAAATCCCTAACCACCGATGGTGAGGCGGGTAGGACGGGGAATATGAAGCAGGCCAATGCCCGCTGAGTAAATGGTTTGAGGAGGTCGCAATGGTAGAGTGGGGGAATCATTATAAATCTAACAAACATCACATACGGAAGAGAGGCGCTTGCAATCTGAAGCATGGGCTCGAATGGGAGCTTCTGTACCTTCCCAAATGCCCTCCAGATCAATGATTGTCGATATGATATTTTTGTCACAGCCCGGCATGAATTTTCCACCATTCGGGTAGAAATCGATATGTCCAGTTGGCTCGAGTAATCCAAAACCTACAAAGTGAATTTAGTTGCAATTAGAAAAGCAGCAAGAATCAAACAGTAACTTCTGAGAGGACTCAGTAATCTCCAGTAGCAAACCTTACCGACATAGGGAAACAGTGGAGCAGCGTTAGAGTGAATAATATCCACAAACTTTGCATCTGATGGATCCAGTCTTACTTCCAAGGGAGTATCTTTGAAGAAAGGGCTAGCTGGATCCAGACCTGCGGCAGGGAATAAAATCCTAAAATTATTGAATGTTTGCAACACACAGAAGGAAGCCATCATTTCTGAGCTAGTGCAAGCTTCTTGACCGCAGTTATCTGCTCAAATACAACACCTCCCCACCCCCGTACCTTCAGTATTACTTTTCCTTAAATTCTTGTCCAATTTTCTTGAGATTACTAATCACCCACAAAACAGTCGCTACACTTTGCAGTGTACACTTTACTAGTGAGCAAGTGAGATGTATGTGGTCAATTTCAAATCACTGTCATTCATGGTGGGTTTGAATCCACGCCTCCAAATAGTCCAGATTACTGGGGTAGGTTTGGAGGGGGTGGGGGACATCCGGGTGACGCAGGCAGAGAATCCATCACCGTTGCTTAAGAGTATCCAAACCAAGATGAGATTTCTATGCATCCCACCTACACATGGTGCATCCCACCTACACATGGTGCATCCCACCTACACATGGTGCATCCCACCCACACAACCCTTCTACGGTTGAGCGTAATGACTTTTGACGCTAACACTTGGCATTTTAGCGCAGCTCATGTTGAATTTCGGTTTGTTTCCTCACAAGGTTCAGAGGGCTTCGTTGAGGCAAACAGTTCAGTTTAAGGGAAGGAAACAGAGGCATAAATGGCACTTCTGGTCAATTTATTATTTCATCCTTCTGAAAAGCGATCACTGATGATAGTTACCTGTAATTCTAGCCAATCCTGCGTATCGCTTTCCTACTTCTCCAGCAACGTGACTGCCCAAGCTGTGGCCAATAACATGGATGTTGGAGCGTGAGTAGTTAAACTGACTCTAGTTATACGAAAGAGAGAAAATGTTACAATGCAAACCGTACCATTGCTTTGGATGTTGTAATTGATTATGATTCGTTACACGGTCAATCCACTTTACAATATATCCTGTGCAGCGCTTTGAGACGTCTCGACAATGTGATAAGGCACGTCATTGAAGGTAACATTTGCGTTACTGTATAAAAATACACAGTCAATTCACTTTACAGTATATTCTGGGAAGCGCTTTGAGATGTCTCGAAGATGTAATGAGGCGTTATATCAAATGTAAGGATTAGTATTATTAATATATCAAATACAAGGATTATTATTTTTTATAATAGAGCTGTTTATTTTACCTCGAACACGCCAATAAGATAAGCCACTTCAGCACCAACAACCCGGATGTTGCTCACAGCCTGACTGTATAGGGTTCTCGAGCCACCTTTCCAGTCCACACAGATGCAGTTCACATTTTCCACTTTGAACATTGCCTTGAAAAGATATAAATTGGATGGATAAATGAGCTCCAGTGAGGACAAATTGATTGACATTAAATTTCGCTATTAATTACTGTGAGAGGACATGAATAAAATCTGCCCTTTGATATTTGTTCTGTCCAATACCTTGCACATATCAGAGAGCCATCCTTCCTCCCCCTTGTCTATAAAACCATGAATTATGAAGCGGGTTTTCCTGGTCACATCAAAATGAGAGCTTTCTATCGATGAAGGATTTGTTCCAGTGATTTCCTGTGAAGAATGAATTGAAATTCAAGTTTCTTCACAAAGACAAAAGACAAAGGAAAGCCCAGTGTGAATGCTTTCTATTCAAAGTACAGCGCTTCGCTAAGCTATAGGATATTATTCTATGAAGAACATTGCATTGTAAAAGCACTGAGATGTAATAATACCTGAAAATTTGTTGTGTCTTTCATGGTCCATAGCAGAAAGCGGATATTAATATCCTCTGAAGACCAGGGTAGCTTTTTAAATGGTCTCTCATCTGTTCCACCCCATGGTGGTTCATTTGTAAAGCAGCCTAGTCTTGGGTAGCACACCTTGTCAGCTGTAAAGAGAAGACATTTTGTAAGTGGTGTTTACCAACAATAACAACAATAACGTGCATTTCACAAAGGATCCTGGAGCTACGGCATATGATTGCAAAATGATACAAAATCCCACCGATTCTTTCTTTGAGAACGACAGGAAAACAGCCTCCAAATTACGACTGAATTTAAGATCTTTCTACTATTCTGCACAATCTCACTTTATTTTACGCACCGGGGAGAGGAGGATAGGCATAAATTGTTCAGCGCGGAAACAGACCACTCGGCCCAACTAGACACGTCATGGTTCAGTTTACTGGGCACTCCATAGCCAAATTAGAGAGTGGAAAAAAGGAGATCATCGTCAGGCCTTCGAGGGGCAGAGCAGTCACTTGGAGCAGGGATTCTTCCCACTCAGCTCCCGTTAACCCTGCAAAGCCAAGGTTCTAACGGCTCGGGTGATGTTTGCCCAGACAAGTGCTCTCGACAACAAGCTGTGTGTTTTTTTACTGGTTAAACTCACCCAATGCATCAACGTCATTCCATATTAACACTCTTACCTTCAATGAGGTGAGCCAAGACAAGCACTGTAAGTACAATCGGCAGCATCTAACGTGAAATAAACAAAATAACACTTGCTTTATTTGAAAGGAATGTACCATTATTCTCTGTCAATCTATTTCGATCGATGCATTCTCGACTACCTTAGAAAGTGAGCTAGTGCAAAGCTCACCATTGACTGTTGGCTCTGGGCACTGAGGACAGACTGCTATAGTTGCTGTGTTTGCTCTGTGATGTTGCTGTTATTTTTTTTTGCACGTGTGAAGCAAGCAGCTGGCAGTTTAGTTCTTGCAGGAATTTTGACCGGTTTTAAAACCTTATGACTGTAGCAAAATCAGGATTTTCCATGTTTTTTTTGACTAATCATAATCCCTTAAAAAAAATCAAGCAATCATAAATTAGTCGCTTCAATCCCTCGGCTGTTTGTGGGACGCTGCTGTGCGCAATTCTTTGCCTCATTTCACCCATAAAATATACAGTCAGTGCACTTTGCAGTATGTTCTGTGAAGCGCTTTGAGACGTCTCGAAGACGTGGTAAGGCAAATGCAAGGATTATTATTATCATATTATTGTAGACAGTCCATCGCTGAGTAAAGGAGTATGGGGAAAGGGCAGATAATGGCAGTGGTTCTCCTCAAGGCTTTATTCTCGCAGCTCCTCTTAAATAGTTGAGCTGTACATAGATTTGAGGGTGGGCTGAGCCCTCTCCAGCCTGAGCCACCCATCACCTATGATCACAGCAGAAACCAGAGAAGTTCCTGTTGGTGATTTACGGGCTCCTTGTACAAAGTGGCTCTGCACAAACCATGAGAAGTGCACACCTGTGATAGGATGCAATAATAGGACGTGTGCAGCTGAGGGTAAATATTACTAATAATCCTTGCATTTGATATAGCGCCTTATCATGTAATTGAGACGTCTCAAAGCGCTTCACATGTTATACTGTAAAGTGGATTGGCTATGGTATTTTGTAGGTGAAATGCGGCAGTCAGTTTCACGCATAGCGATGTTCCCCCAATTTTGAGTGAGTGACCAATTTTATTCTTGGGGCTCACCATTGCATCTTGCAGTGCACTTACAAACTGAATCATTACCAAACTTAAAGGAACATTATCAAACGGAACACAAGTAAATGAAGAAAATCCTGTGAGAGCTCTGCATGTACATCTGAGAAAGAGTTCAACACTCAAACTATTCTGCGCAGACCACAATTTGAACCTACTAACAATAAATAAAGAAATAATCCTTGCACTTGATATAGCGCCCTTAATGCCAGGATGACGCCTCAAAGCGCTTTACAGGATTTACCGCAAAATATAGTGACTGTGTGTTTGGAAGGCAAACACAACAGCCAGTTTGTAAGCTCCAATGCGTTACAAACAGTCACAAACTCACAGCATTTGGTGGGACCTCACTATATGCAAAATAGCTGCCACTCCTCCAAAAAAAACATGCAAAAAAAAAGTCACCTCACTTGACTTTACTTAAAAAGCTCGGAGATGTTCAACATATGAGGTGCAGTGACTGCAATGCAATGGTCTGTGTTAGCTCATGACAAATTTTGCACTGAATTGACGCCAAAACCACTAAACAAACTGCAGCCCCTGTTACCCTCTCAGAGTCATGGTTTCCTCCTGTAAGTGCACTAAGCAATTCACTGCTTTGTGTGTGTCTAACAGTTTTTCCACCTTGCTTGGTTTGGATATGGATAGAGTCAAATCCGTTCAAAGGACCACCTCCATTCAGCAACCACTCTCTGGAACAGCCCAGACAGAATTTGCATCCAAAAACCACCTCTATTTAGGAACTACCTGTCTAAAGCAACCAGTGGCCACTCTTTGCTGATCCTTTTACACCCTCCCTGTGTGTGAAATGTGCTTTACAAATGTAATTTGTTGTTGTTGTTATTGCCTTTGCAACGACAACCCTATTTCAGGGGCCAAGCTTTCTGCGAAACACAGTCAAAGAAACACCCGATAACCATTATGGACTTCTTCCGCAAACAGTAACGACTTGGAGTTGTCCTTCATTTATTTATTAATTTATTAACATTAATTTAATTAATGAGTGCGTACGTGCACTGTATTATTCAATGCATTTTCTTTTGTGGTCTGATTGTGGGTTGGGGTAACTCCTGGTGTCTAACCAGCTAAAACCACACATCTTGCCATTGAGAGCACTGCCTGGCAAGCTTTTCCGCTGCTTGTCCAGCTAGGACCATCCTAGCTGTTAGGGCTTTGACCGAGTGGAGTTTTCTTTTAAACACTTAAAAAATGATACGCACACCAGCAAACCCTTACTTAGAGCCACCCTTATGTATCAAATACAAGGATTATTAAGCAAGTATTATACATCAAATGTAACTTCGAAGCCCTCCACCTCCTAATCTCCTAAATCTGCCCACTCCCTCCGCTCAGCGGGCTCCGGCCTGCTTCACGTCCCCCACCTTGACTGCCCCACCATTGGCGGGTGGGCCTTCAGCCGCTCTGCCTCCACCCTCTGGAACTCCATCCCGCAGTCCCTCCGCCTCGCCCCCTCCCTCGCCTCCTTCAAGACCCGTTTAAGACCCTCCTCTGCGCCCGTGACTTCGATCACCCTCCGAAACACTGACTGTCCGGCTCCTTGGGACGTCCTCCCGAAGTGAAAGGAGCTATGCACGTAATTTTGTTGGTGGTGTTATATGAAAAGACCACTTTGGCTCAGACCCGAGCGGTTGTTAAAGACAGGTTTGACCTATACCTGTAATATTTAAATAAAAAAAGTTTGGAAAATCGAAAACCAGCTGGGGGGATAAGTTTCGCTTTACACATACATGAAACTTGCAGGTACTAATAACAACAACAATAATAATAAAAATAATAATAATCCTTGCATTTGATGTAGTGCATTATCACACCTAAATACAGATGTGCAAGTGTCTGTCTCCCCCCCCCCACCCCCCGCACATGCATTTTGACAACAGGAGCAATCACTGTTAAGGTCTTGGTGCTGCATTCGCTCAATGCTTAACCCACTGCCCTCAAATAACATGCAAAAACAAACAACTACAAGAGGTGGTGAACGGGTGTGACTGCGATTGCATTTGTTTAGCGAATGGAAACTCATCAGAGCGGAAATGAAGCACATCCGTCTGAAATGCAGTTAAACTTACAAAAAAGAAACCACACACACAAACACACTCGACACCCAGGGATTTGGCGAGTGCTCAGCATGGAAGAGGCGGTGAAACATGGGCTGGTGTACACACTTCAGCAGAAGTTCATCAAGGTAACTTATTCACAGACACACGCACAGCATAACACACAACACCCGCACCAGAGCCCAGTGAGCAGCGCTTTCTGTCTGCACAGAGCAAGGATCTAGTTATCTCCTACTGTTTAAGCTTCACTGACTCAACAAAACCCATCTCCTTATGGGGGAAGGGAGGGGAGAGTGGGGGAGAAAAATAAAACCGAAACAGAGCATTTTGCAGAGGCTTCGAAATGAGTTATTTTGAAGGGCAGAGACTTTGTTGAATGTAGGGTTTAAGGGATGCAGTGGTGTGTATGTGTGTGTGTGTCTGGCAAATGAGTTAGGGTAAAGCTTTTGCTGGAGATTTCAGCGTGAAGGCATTGTATGGCAACTCTACAGACAAGACCTGACTGGTATTCCCCTTCCCCCTCCACCACCCACCCACACCCCCAACCCCCCCGACCGACCGAAAAAGAACCTTTTATGTAAAAAAAATCGACGATACTGTGTCTAACCTAAAACTTGCATAAATCTGATCCCTGTAATTCGTATCATTGCCCTTGTCGTACTTGTGCCCAAGTCCCGTTCAAGCGTTTATGTTCTATGTAAGTTTGGCGTAACTTATACTTGCTATAAATCATATTAAGTGATTGGTCCCAGCTGATACGAAGCCCTCTGGGATGCTAACCACCGTGACAGGTGCTCTACGAATGCAAGTTGTTGTTGTTGTTGACTTATGCGAAGTTAACTGTGTAAACACCAGCCTTGCCGTAAGAACCATGTGGCGCAGTACAGTCCTTTAAATGGAACAAAGGAAAGCAAAGCGACCTATTTTGGGTGCGCAGTTATAGCACCACAGTGCAGGTGTGTGTGTGTGTTTGTTTTACCGCTAACATTGCCGGCGGAGCGAGAAGATTAACAGGTGTTTTGGTTTGGGTACGATTCCATTTCTGCGACTCAGTGATACACATCCTCATGGTTTATTATAAAAACGCTTGTGTTTGATATGTCTGTGTCACGTGGAAATACCTCCGAGAAATTGGCTGCAATGAGTTACTTTGCAGTGCATAGTGACTGGTTGCGTTGGATTTAAGGGATGCAGTGATGCAGTGGTACGTGTGATTGGGAAATAAGTTAAGCAAAGCTTTGCTGGAGGCATTGCAATGGAAACAACGCAACAACTTGCATTTATCCAGTACCCTTCACCTAAAATGACCTGTCAGGGTGCTTTAAGGGTGAGCATGGGCTAATTGTGACATGCAGTCTCACTTGTCAATGCCACCATCAAATCCATTTCACCAGCAGTGACCCCTCCCCCACCCCCCACCTCCTCCGCAAACTCCCCCACCACCCTTCCTCCTCCTCCTCCGCAAACTCCGGAAACCACGCTCCTTGGTTCTTGCCAACCTAATTAGCTGAACAGGGATGAGTGCATCCGAGCAGACAGTGCCCACTCCGTTCCAGACACATGGGAATTTCCGTGCATTTGTGGAACTCTACAGCAGTTTGGGGTGGGCTCTCTTAAGCACGATGACAGGTTTCTGTGTGTGCTAGACACCTAGCTGACCAAAGACAAGATCCACTTCTTAACACTTACGATGTGCTAACGTGAATGTGTTTGTTGCTGCAGAGCAATGATATGTTACATTTGTGATTTCGATGAATGTAATTCTCTACCTTTGCTCAGCGAATACCGGCCTGCTTCATATTCTCCCTCTCTATACGCCTTACCATTGGCGTGCGGGCTTCAAGCCATTCAGCCAATGTTCTGTGGAACTCCAGGAGGAGTCTCTCCAACTTGCTCGCTCCCTTCCCTCGTTCAAGACCTGTCTCAAGACGTACTTCTTTGACAGTGTTTTCCGGTCATCTCTCCCCTCCCCACCGCCTCTGCTCCCACCTCATTCTGGGTGTCTACCTAGCACCGTTAAACACTTTGAGACATCCTCCCAACCTGAAAGGCGCTGTATAAATGCCATTGTTATGCATTGTAACTTTAAACAAACATTCAGAAAATACAGATGCAGGTAGAACATATGAAGGCAAATGGACTAGAGTTAACAAAGCCTTTTCTTTTTTTTTGCTCTCCTTGTTATTGCAGAAATGGAAAAAGGTTTGGCTCTCGCTCTACTCGCAAAGCAGTCAGTCTGTTGCGCGCCTCGAATACTGTGAGTATAAAGAGGGATCGACGATGTCGGAAAGGCAGAGTTCAAAAAGGATGGACAGGAAGCTCATTCGAATGAGCGAGTGCATCAGTATATTTGAAGTGGTTTCTGAAAACTACCCGAAGGAATCGGGGGTCTTTGCAGTGGAGACAACAACCAAAATGTACACATTTGCAACTGATAAATCTGACTGCATTGAATGGGTACAAAAACTCAAAGAGACTACTTTTGAGGTAAGTTATTAACGAGTGATAAGTACAGCACACACTAGGAACAAGGTCACAGGCTGCCCCAAGCAAGTGGTGTACAGTGTAGAACACCACCACCAACAACAACAAAATTACATTTCTATGGAGCCTTTCACATTGGGAGGATGTACAGTAGGACTGTGCCCAAATCCAGACTGTGCCCAAATTCACAAACATCCCAGACCAAAATATCAGAGGCTTGAAACTTCATTTTCTCTTATCGCTAGAAGGCAGCTTTGAGGTCAAACTCAAGATCAAATGCGAAAAAAATCTCAAATTCAGACTTAATTTGGAAAGCATTATTTAAGAACTGTGGAAAGCAAACTTCCAAATGAAGGTCAAATGCCGTATGCCTCTTAAGCGAAGCAGAAAAGACTTATAAAATAAGGAGGATTCCATTTTGCTCCCTTTTTTTGTTTTAAGAAAAAACAAATTGAGAAGGTCACTGAGCTGTAGAGGGTGTCACGGCTGAGCCTGACCTCATCAAAATGTCCTAAGTATTAAATAGTAAAGATAAAGTAAGTCCAGATCAACAGTTCAAAGTAAGTCAAGAAATAATTGATGAACAACAATAAGGGAAATTAAAAATGTCTTTACTCAAAGAGTGACAATTATCTGGAAACATTTCCCGAAGTTTGTGAACAAGGTAAAAAGAATTGGGATTATTCACAACACAGCTGCCTTGATATCCTTACCACACAAACTTCCAGTGGCAGAAACTTTGCAAAACATGCATCAAGTTAACTCCACATCAAGTCTTCAAAAGAGTTCTTCGCTCTGAACTTTTTCTAGTCCTGTTACAGACAAAGTAATGCACAGAGAAATAACTTTGTTCAACGTTCATCCAGTTTGCAAAATATCAATGAGTGCTTTGCCTAAGTGGGCAAGGAGCGTGGAGCATGGAGATTAAGAAATATTTGTGTGCAGAATATAACCATTCTTAAGTAATTAAATGTGAAACAAAACAGATATTAAATCTCTCTACAGTGGCACAGTAATGTTATAAATTATAGTCGCTTGTAATTAAAAATAGACGAAGGTTGGATTCCAGAGGGATTCACATACAATGATCTTTTTCAACAGAAATCAAAGCGGCACATCTGAGCGTGTATAAGAATTAGCGAAACAAGATCCAATATGTTTTCATACTGTGTCTGCATTGGCAATGATAACTGTACAAAAGGATTTTATTTTTGAAATAGAATACAACTGGGTAGCAGTTTGATTGTAATAAATAATAATAATAATCCTTGCATTTGATATAGCGCTTTTCACGTCTTCTGGACGTCCCAAAGCGCTTCACAGAACAAAGTGAATTGACTGTATATTTATTATTGTTTTTGGTTTTGGAGGGATTATTATTAGGTGTGTGGAGTAAGGAAACTTGCCCAAGGTTTCGCCCTCTGCCTGGAATTGAACTCAGGTCTCTCGCTTGCAAAACAAGTGCTCTAACCACTGAGCTACATGACTCCACATGTTTCCATTTGTGGACACACCAAACTAGACCATATCCTGGCCATAGGTTAGAATACCTGAATAACGAAACTTGTGTAGATAAAGCACAGAGAGAGAGCTGGAAAATAAACCACTGGTAATAATAATAATAATCCTTGCATTTGATACAGCATTTAAGTCAGGATCTACCAATTCTTCATTCACTACAAAACGCACAGTCACTACACTTTACAGTATATCCTGTGAAGCGCTTCATCAAGACGACCTCCTGAGTTGAAGTACTGGTGGATCACAAAATATACAGTCAATTCACTTTGCAGTATATTCTGCGAAGCGCTTTGAGACGTCTTGTAGACGTGATAAGGCGCTGTATCAAATGCAAGGATTATTATTTATCCCTGGAATTACCCGTCACCTCTTCCATTGGAGAATGTTTCCGTTCAGTCATACAATCTCCAAACAAGACTATTCTCTTTAGCGAGGTGTGGAGGATTGGTATTGCTCTGCATTAGTAGTCTATGCAGATGACCATGAAGCTTTCTCAATATCATTGAAAGGGTAAAACCAAAGACAATATTAAATTGCGTGCATCATCCAAAGACCATGTATCCAGTGGTTCATGTATTAATATATTTTAAGGTATTCGGTGACAGGTTCAGTTGTTGTTGTTTGTCCCTTATCAGAGAAAGGAAATGGAGCATTTCCTTGGTAATGTCACCCATGTGTATGTGCAGCAGTAAAATATTGTTTCTGAATCAAAAGCTTTTCAAAAGGGTGTGAAGTCAAGACATGCAAATGTTGGTGAGTGTATCATTCAGCCAAACATGTATTGGTTTCATTCAGCATATGCAAAATTGTGGACAATTTGCTAAGCTGCAGTGTGATTCATTTTACCAAAAAACATGAGGATAACATTGACTGTCCAAAACAACCCGAGAACTGTTTTTCTAATGACTAAAAACGACTTAATTGCATCAGCTTGATATAACTGAACATGGTTTATTGGTCTTGTAAAGCCATTACTTCAATGGAAAATATGCCGGTGCAGAGCAATGTAGAACAGTGTACGGAAAATTTGGTTGCGACCGCATATCTTTAGTTATCTCTGCTGAGTACTGTACACTGAGTACTTTGTGAACAAATAGCTCTGATTTGCGGCCATATGTGCTAAGCGTTAAAAAAAGATGTTGAAAAGCTACAGAAACCAAGTGGAAACATTTTCTGACTTGTGGGCACAAACACTTGCGTGTTTTGGGATATACAAAGACAGAGAGTTGCGCAAACATGACATGCAGTGCTGTAGAAGGCCGAGGAGGCAGACCAGATTGGAGATTGATAAGATCCTTGGAACAACAATAACAACAACTTGTGCTTATATCGCGCCTTTAACGTGGGTTAGCGTCCCAGAGCGCTTGAAAAACACTGCTTGGAAAGCAATGGTATAAAGGGGAAAAGGCAGCAAAATGGAATGAAAAGAAATGCCATGAATCCCTACCCGCCCTCAGCTCGGGTGCCCATCCAGCCCTGTGACAGGCGCGATACGCATGGAAACTATTTATTTCCATTGCATTGTATGAAAATTGGTGGAATAGGCTTGACAGACTGAATGGCTTCCTTCTGGGCCTACGTTCCTGATCAATAAGTCTTATAATTCACTATTTTGCTTCGCTGACACAAGAATAAACATCGAAAGAGGCCTCGAGCTTGTTCCGCTATTCTATAAGATCATGCGGAGGTACCTCAAGTCCAATTACCCGCTCTAGCTCTGTATCCCTTAGTTGAGGATGGGGAAAGTGTGCTCTTGTTTATATTTTGTTGATGAATCTCCCCCCTCACCTCAAATAATAATCACACATTTCACTGTTAAACCCACCTTTAGTATTTCCAAGAAGACTATTCAGATGGGATGACAATAAGGATGCAGGAAAATGAACTCTACTGTACACAAGCAGGAGGTAAAGCATGGATTATTTTATTTTTCCAAATCGCAAATGTATTTTTACTTAGCTATGTCTCACAAGCAAACGTAAGCTATGTTCTCTTAAGCTAACCATCGGAATGAAATTTTTCTATAATGTGAGTTATTTAGAGAATGTTGTGCATAAATTCATTTATTCCCACTGTATTATCCTCATTATAATATATAGCTATTATATATTATATATATAACATTAATAATAATCCTTGCATTCGATATAACACCTTATCACGTTTTCAAGACATCTCAAAGCGCTTCAGAGAATATACTGTTAAGTGAATTGACTGTATATTTTGTGGGCGAAACCCAGCAGCCAATTGCGCACAGCAGTGCCCTACAAACAGTCGTGGATTGAGTGACCAAATTATTATTATTGTTTATTTATTTATTTTGGAGGGATTACCCCTGGAAAAGCGATCCACCAATCGACTAATAACCAGGTTCTACTTAGGTAAACAGAGGCGTGTGGAGTTGAGAAATTTGCCCAACGTTTCACCCAACATTAGTGAAGTGTACAATAAGGGGGGAGTGGGAGCTGCTATAAACACTCGTTCTACACCCAATATTTTTGGAACCTGACAGAGGTGTTGAAAATTGTGAAAAGATTCATTAAAGTTGATAGGCTATTTCTATTTGTTGACGAGTCCACAATTCGATGGCTTAAGTGTAACATAGCCAATAGTTGATCTAATCTACTAAGGGAGTTCAGGGGAACTTTATTATTCAGAGGGTGATGAGATTGCAGAACTCGCTTCCAGAAACTAGTTGAAGCAAATAGCATCAATGCATTTAAGAGAAAACATGAAGTATACACGAGAGAGAAGGGAATAGTGGGGTGACTGTGTGTGGATATAAACCACAGTCATAACTGGCCTGTTTCTGTTCTGTGTCATATCACTCTATGTACCTCTGTAACTCAGTGAATCCTCAGTCATGTCGTGCAGTGGCTAACATATTTTTAATTTGTGATTGGACCGTAAACACTGGATAAATATAAATGTGCACTTGTCGTACAACAGCTGCTCCGGTGCTAACATCAGCAAAGGGAACCTAATGTCCAAAGTTTATTCTGCTCACTGGGTTTAGAGCGTGTTTAAATCAATATCATTTTATGGCCATTTGAAACCGGGAAGTTTTTTAACTTCAGTAAAAACAAATTGTTTACCAGCTCAGCGGTCTGACAAATAATGCTTCACTCTATCTGTAGTCTTCTGTTTAGTTTACGTTGATGAAAACCACTTCCTGCCACTCTTGACAATGACTCTCTTAGCCTTTTGGGTTTGTACATTTTGTCATAAGCAATTCTGAGGCAAAAGTTACATTTCACTACCCAATGCATGAACATAGGCAAGCAAAAGTGACAAACAATAAGGATTCATCAATAAAGATATTTATTCTCGAAGCTTTTAATTTTTTAAAACGTTTTATCATTAAAACAAAAACGTAATTTTTTTAAAATCTGGAAATGTTGCATATCTTAATATTGATTTGAGAAGGTAAGAAAGAAAATAAATTGCATGTGTGCATGGAGCTATCAAAAATATGTGCATTTTACTTTGTGTAATCCTTTAAATTATGACTCCAGTCGTTACATTTTCTAAATAATGAGTTAATGAATGGGTTTAGAGAGAGGGAGAGAGAAATACGTTTTCTATTGTTAGAGGACAGAAGTGCAATTAAACAAAGTTACTTAAAAACTTGCATAAATGAGTCTGACCATACAATCACATACGACCATCAACACATTTGTCTGCAACTCTTTCACTGGCTCAGTCGACCTCAATGGAAAATAATGCCATTTGTCTCTCTAACATAAGGAAGGAAGAGGTAATGAAGGAAACAGTTTATATCTGTAACAATTTAACCTTATTTTAAAATAGATTACTGTAGTGGCAATTATTTCCATCAAAGGTTGCAAAGCTCTGAAAATACTTAGAAAATCTTTAAGATTGAAGTGAGAGGCTTTCTCCCTTTTTTTCCACCGTGCTTAAATTTGAAGCGAGTAATATTTTGGCTCACCTAAATGCGTTTGTGCAACATTTACAACAGTTCGTAAACTACCAATCTTCCAGTGTTACGTTTCCCTTCTAAAGTTGGGTTGATTTTTACCAGATGCATTCTTTGTATTATTACTTTCTAAATAAAAAAATGCATTTATTGTGGAAGGGATTATTACACCCGGACAAGAGATCTGCCAACCGATTAACAACCGGGTTCCTACTTACTAGGCGAACGGAGGCGTGTGGAGCAAGGAAACTTGCCCAACGTTTCGCCCTGCCTGGGAATCGAACCCAGGTCCTCTCGCTTGCGAGGCGAGTGCTCTAATCACTGAGCTACAGGAGCTCAAAGTACAGATATGGGGCTTGAACACACAACCTCCTAATTCAATAACTGGCATTAATGTAGCGCCCTTGATGTTGGTCAAAAAACAGCAATGAAGCAAGTCCCATTCAGAGCAGAATTAAATAATTGCGACAAGGTGACAATCTTCAGAAGGGGGAAACGGCACATTGTACTGGTTATGCCAACCTGACGTCACCCTTCGACAGGACTGGTGGGAAGGTCAAGGACATTTCTGATTGCGCGTGACCCATCAGTCAAGGGAATCTCGTGTCAAGGCAAGAGAAATTGAACACACCAAGTCAAGTTTGTAGCTGGCCTCACCTACTGATTCAGCGCTGAACTTGCGCCCGTTTGACAGATTTCACACAGATGCGTTCAGCGGTTTAAGATAAATGACCTACCGTAGCTCTCGTACAAGCCTCGGCACCAAGCGCTCTTTCCTGTGTCTGAGAAAAAAGTGCCTGAAACATCAGGGTATAAATAGGCATAGGTGATTATTAGATATTTTTATTGTATTTGTTCGGCAAATGAATTAAGCCCTCAATTGTGAGCCTCTGTGATATCTACATCCCTGCTGTTCCAGCTTAGGAGGACGGATATGTACAAGGATTCTGACACGTAGCATGTTGCAATACGCTCCTCTTTGCCCCAGATATTTAAATTCTCTGTTTCAAAGTTCCAGTAGAGTGAGTTGTAGTGAAATATACCCAACACAAACAACTCCTATATAATTAGCTAGAAATATATCAGGGGTACTTATTAATGTATTGGTAGAGACACAGGCTGTGGGCTTGAATCTCTGAATACATTGGTTGCTGATTGTGGCTTTGGCAAGACCCCAAGTGGCAAACAACAACTACAACTTGCCTTTATATAGCACCCCTCAAGCAGGGTAGCGTCCCAGAGCGCTTGACAGTGGCGGAGCACGACAAAGTGGGTCAATGTAGCAACAACAACAGGATGTCCCAAGGCGCTGGAGAGACAGAGTTACAGACCCGAGCTTGGGGTCGAGGTGGGAGAGGGTGGAGGGCGGGGCAGGGGGGAAGTAGGGAGATCGAAAGCACGGTCGAAGGGGTCTTGAGATGGGGCTTGTAGGTGGCAAGGGAGGGGGTGAGACGGAGGAACTGCGGACAGAGTTCCAGATGGTGGGGGCAGAGTGGTGGAATGCCTGTCCGCCAATAGTGGGCGAGCGAGGCAGGGGACGTGAAGCAGGCCGGAGCCCGCTGAGCGGAGGGAGCGAGCAGGATGGTAGGGGGTTAGGAGAAGTGTGATGCTGAACCATTGCAAAATCTCTTAAAAAAAAATGATTGTTCTTAGGTGATGTGGCAGTAGGGATTCCATCTCCAGGCTTTGGGACCAGAAAATAAAATCAACCAGCATTCTCACTCCTGATCATTATCCAGTGATCCTTACTGAAAAGTGTGCATTTGTAGGTGAAGACACTGGGATTGACCTGAACAATGTTTAGTCTACCCTTCTCCTCTTCCCTCGCCCATAACTCCCACCCCTCACCCACTGTCCAACAGCAACAACTTCCATCATGCCTTTCGTGTCCTGAGAACATCTCAAGGTGTTTCACACATCAGACCACAAGTCCAAGCTGGGGTTGGGGTGGGGTTGAGGAAGGTGACCGAAAAGTCAAGAAAATAGTCAAAAAGTGGTCAAAAAGATAGGTCTGAAAGGCAGGCTTTAAAGGTGTGGAAGGAGGAGGTGAGGCAGACAGACTCCATGATGGAGTTCCAGAGAGTAGGAGCAAAATGACTGAAAGCTCACCTATTGATGGTGAGGCGGTGGCTCAGGTGGAGGACATGAAGTAGGCCAGCGTTTGCTGAGCGGAATGAACAGTCCAGGCCATGGCTTAAAAAAATGATCATTTTGGCATGAAACCAGAGGTTTGCCAGAGAGAGTAGGGAAAGATAAATGGGGAGTGCAGTGATGGGAGAGAGGACAGAACCGATCACTATGCAAATATTGGCAGTGACTCGCATACATTTAGTTACGTTTTTAGTTAAAATGTGTTCTTGCTAAAATGGTTTCTTCTTCTCCTCGACAGTAAACGATTACACAGTCACAGTAAGAAGCACAGACGCATCGGAAAGATGTGAACTCAGCGGAATGTACTTTTTAACGCTAGACAAGGAAGTGTTGATGTTAAAAAATATTGTCTCCGAAGAAGTGGTGTACGAATGGCCTTACCGGTATCTAAGGCGATTTGGCGGAGACACGGTAAGCCTCATTTTTAAAACAAAATTATAATGAATTGATGGTTTATAACAAATAATAACAATAATAATCCTTGCATTTGATATAGCAATGGATTCCAGACACAGAAACATTTCCATTTGTAGGTGGCATACACATGTACAGCTCTGTCTGGTTTAGATATATGTTGATGGTTTTGTGGACGCACACTACGCTGACGACAAAATAAAACTATTTGAGATAGCGCCTTATCACAACATAGAAACATCTCTAATCGCTTCGCAGAATTTTATTATCAAGTGATTTGACTGTGTATTTCTAAGTGTACGTGGTAGCCAATTTATGCACAACGACGTCCCACAAACAGCCATGAAGCGAATGACTAATTTTATCTAAAACCAATGGCAAGTGTAACCTAAGATGTAATCCTGCATGAAACGAGTTTTATAAATGCAAATTTGCTGTTGTTGCTGTATGTGGAGGATTGTTAGCCAGAACACTGGGAGAAACTCCTTTATCTTTAAGAATGGCACCATGGGATCTTTAATGTCTTTAAGCAGGAAAAAAAATGTGAGATTGTAAAGGGGAACTTTCACTAAATGAATATGTTTTAAATTCTCTAGCAGAATAAGAAGCCATTTCTTCCAAGTTAGCATGTCAAATTTCTGTCCATAAAGTGGATGAATCATTCAGACGGTGGCTAAAGAAAGTTGCATTTTAAGTGGAAGATTTGGACTTTGGTTGCACTGTATTTTGAATAATTTTAATAAACTACCCCCATGTGGAACCGGGCAACCTTTTTATTTTTTCTGCAGTTTCACAATCTCTCGGTTTGGACAGATATTAGGGTCAGATATAGTCAAAGCAGGCAAAGCAGTCAAACCCACAAATATACCTTTCCTGTGACGTGGGAAATTTAGAGCGAATCATACCAGTTTCAAAACCTCACTGTGAGTAAGTGTCTATTCTTAGAATTGTACTATTTTACAATTACAATTCTAGGTGGCATTACATTGCAGAGTAGTGAAAATGCTATGACACCACTGGATCCGAGCAGAAGAATATTTTTGCGTTGGCTGCTTGTGATAATAAGTGTTTGTGTTTGTGAAATGGTGGTCCAACGACAACAACAACAACAAAATACATTTGTATAGCGCCTTTCACGTCAGGTAATATCAGAAACGTTTACTTATTTTTTCACAATCCTAATGTGTGTGTTTTTCAGAGAATATTCTCATTTGAATCTGGAAGAAGTTCCAAATCTGGTCCAGGCAAGTTTGAATTCGAAACCAAACACGGAAAACAGATCGTCTGTTCAGTAAACGCTGCTGTGAAAATCCAGAGAGAAAACAGCGATGAAGAACGAAATCATTTTGATTCTTTAGAAAACGACAATTCATTAACCGTTGAATCCGCCACTTACAAGCCACATTCAGGCAGTCCACAGTCTGTCAGCAAGTTGTCAGAAATGTGCAGGTATCCCAAGGAACATAAGTACCAATTATCTAAAAAAATACCTTCCGCAGTGTTAGATGTTTTCGAAGGCATACATCACCTGTCTTGTGAAGATGGGTCAGATAATGAGGCTCGCTCTCCACTGAGGAAATCACCAGTCAGGTTTCAGTACAGCTTCCCAACAAGCCCTTTAAATTCACCGCGTGGTGAATTGAGTTCGAAATTATCCACAGAGACGATGGAGAACAGAACTATGTTCCATTCGAAACCCAGCTCACGAGGCGCTAATCTGACAGTGCCCTTGGAACGACCAAGCAACAGTAAGTCCTTGCCGAGACAAGTAGGCAGACAGCAAACAAATAGCTTTACATACAGTAAAGGGGGAAGCCCACCACACCAAACCAACGAGCATTTTGTGAGGTCTTCCACCAAAACCCATATCCGTGACACTGCTGAAATTAACCTGGCTCAAAAGAAAATTCCTTCTATTGTAATGTCTGATTGTTCCAAAACCGTTTACGGTGCTGTGCACAGTGGATACCAAGCAGCGGGAGACTTAAAGGCGTTAAAGAAACAAACAACCGAACAGGAGACGAAAGAGCCCATATACGATGAAGTTGCATCTCAAAATGATTTTTCACTCTATGATGAAGCAAAGGTACTGACCGAAGCGTGGAAAGTGCAAGGTACAGTCAATGACTCATTTGGTTATGAATATCCATACAATTCAATCGCAGATGACTACGCAGTGCCAAAACAGGTGTTCATGGATGGTCCTCCAAGGCCACGTAAAAAAGGTCCGTCTCTTTTAAGGGGACATATGCAAAATAATGACTATGTGAATATGAAGTCGATCATTTGCAACAGAGACCCATGCAATGATTTGTGATTTGTGCAACGTGTAAATAGTCTTAAGAGTCTCTGTAAGTTTTTGGAAACAAAAGCAATCGATTGTGTAAATATTGTATTAATGATTTGTCAAAAATGTAATCGAGAATTTAAAGGAAAACATTCTATTTATGCATTTTCATATGAACTCACTTAATAAGAGTTGCATTTAATATAGCACCTTTCATGTTGGATGTCTCAAAGCATTTCACATTTACTGTGACTCGACACCAGGGGCCGATCACCACTAGGTGTCGTCTCGTTGAATGCTCAATGAAATCAGAGGAATGACCGGTATTTACAATAAGTTACAGTTGTATACCACCCTACACATCGGAAAGACATCTCAGGGCACTGGACAGTCAGTAGTTTTGGTCCTAGCTGGGAGTTGGGGTCAAGAGGGGTGGAGAGCAGGGTGGGAGGGTGGCCAAAGATGTAGTCAAAGAGGAAGGTCTTCAGACGGGACTTGAAGGAGGCAAGAGAGGGGGTGAAGTGGCGGGATTGCGGGAGAGTTCCAGTGTGTGGGAGCAGAGGTGCTGAATGCCCAACCTCCAATGGTGGGGCGGGAAGTGCGGGGGACCTGATTGCGTCGGTGTCCGACTTAGGAGGGAGTGCACAGGCTGATATGGGGTTAGAAGGTCAGAGAGGAGCAAGATCATGGAGGGCTTTAAAGGGTTGAGAACGAGAGTTTTGAACTCTATTCTCTGAGGGATGGGAAACCAGCTGCAGAGTTCTGAATAACCTGCAGCTTGTGGAGGGAAGATTTACCGCAGTTTAAATAATAAAGTTATAGTTTTATTTCGAGATGTACAAAGTACTTTGTGCCTCTGGCTTCATTTTCAATTGGACGAAATAACTATGTAGTTCCATCGATCCTTCCTCTTGTTCTTTTTGATCATACATGAGAGCGCCACCTAGAGATGATCGACCGGTTGCAGACCCCTGCTCTACATGGTCACACCATTTTACAGTATATCATGTGAAGCGCTAACATAATATAACATAATAATGCACTGTACCAAATGGAAGGATAATTATTATTATTTAAGATACATGAAAACAGATCATTCTATAATAATGTGTAGTCAATTACTTATGCCTATGTCTGTATCTACTTCTATTTATAACTGTTTAATAAAACTTTTAAGTGAAGAGAAACAACCCAAGCAGAATCATGACGTTAGCAGATACTAAAGCAATATCAGATTTGTTGCTGTAATTTCATTTGCAATAAAAATGCAGATGGCTGAAAGAGCAACTTTGGATGTCAAACTGTACTTACACTGAAAAACATATTTTTCAGTTAGACATCGACCTTGGATCCATTCGTTATATTCTGTGAATTGAATAATCAATAATAATAACTTACATTTATATACAGTATCGTCTTTCACACAAGATACGTGTCTCGGAGAGCTGCAAATCACACTCATATGGTAAAACAAAATGTTGCATCAACCCTTTCCACGATAATATGCATGCTCCAATAAAATGCTTTGAAGTACTCTGAGATGTTTCAATGACATGATAAGGTGCTATATCAAAGGTAAGGATTATGATTATTTCATTAATATTGAGTGAGGGCTGTTAATTTGAAGAGCATTTCACTGCCACAAGATGGCGTTATCACATCATATTTCTCTAACCCATCCAGCTCCATTTTAACATTTCAAAAATATCTGCCATGCCTTGCTGATTGAAATCCAGCTAATAGTCCGCCTGAGCTGAAATACATCATGTAAAAACCTATACATTGAGTCCATTTCTTGTAAGTTCATGTTGCTAAATTTTATAATCATTAAGAGCTTCCCCAATAGCTCAGTTAAATTATCCACTGCTTTGTGTAGAATAATCCTTGCATTTGATATAGCCCCTGATCAAGTCATCGAAACAACTCGTAGGGTTTCACAGGATTTCGCTGTAAAACACAGTGACAAATGATATAACTGAATCATTCAGACCAAAGAAGTTCCAGGTTCGATACCCAGATCGTTAGCTGATGTCACATAGGGGCAGAAGTAGCTTCATCAGTGCCTGAAAGGGTGGTGTAAGCAGATTCGATAATGGCTTTCAAAAGGGAAATGGAAAAATTTGCAGGATAAAAGCAGGGGAGTGGCACTAGTTGGATAGCTCTTTCAAAGAGTCGGTACAGGAACGATGGGCCGAATGGCCTCAGTCTTTGCTGTAAGATTCTCTCGGTTCTTAGGCTCTGGCAGAAATCAGCAAGAATAGTTTGGAGGAATGGCATGACCAGATTTACCTTGAAGAATTCAAAGCCCTTGACTTATTTTGAAGCTTTTAGTCGTTCAAAGGCAGGTAAGTGCACATTGTAGAATGACAATTCAAGTGGGAGAGAAGCAGACAGACATGGGAATACAGATCAAAGATTCTGTGGAGAGGGAAAAAAATCAGAGGGAGAAACACATTAAACCACTCTTGCAACTGATTTCAACCACAAATTCTCTGTGGTATAAAGAAGACATCCTCAAAAAGGCAGATATGACAGGAAAGAAAAGATGAGACATAGGAAATAAAAAAAAGCTAAGGGAATAGTGACAGAAGTAAAACAGGATAAAGTAATCTCTATAAAGCTGGGTAATGACTTAAAAAAATAGACTGGTGCTCAAAGTAAATATAAAAAGACAGGAACAGGGAAAATGCCTCAACTTCTTACTAAGATGTAATATTTTCTATTTCTGTTTGAGCACATTGGCAAAGGCAATATTAAATATGAAAAGCATTTGTTACTGAAGCCCTGCATAATGTTTACAGATCGTCATCTGATAATTTGAAACCCATTATGCACAAAAANTAAATAACAGACTGCAGTACTAAGGTAAATTACACTGGAACCATCAGCTCCTAAGTTAATTATTCAGACACAAAATACCTCCAAAACATCAACAGATGCCTCTAGTTCATTACTTAGTCATCTTTTATTTCATATAATACATGAAAAGTACTTTTGTTTTCTAACATGAAAATAATGAACAGCCTGCTTTGTTGAAATCATTGAAAACAAGAAAAAAGCTCAGGTAATGAAATAATTGGTGTGCGACGCCACAGGGTACAAGACACCAACTGGTATCTGTAATATTTTTGAAGAAATGCTCAATTTAGTGATATAAGTTTCAGAAAGCTACAAGGAAATAAAATATTTTGCACATATTCTTTTGCTGATGGATTTAATTATAAAGCCTTAACTGACAGGCAAGAAACTAATGAGCGTTATCCCATTGTGTATGTTGTGCTAATGGTTGCATGGAATGTCAGACTTGAAAGTATAGCTCATGTCAGATAGATTCTCCTTAAAGCAGGAAACAACAGAGCATCCCTTCATAACAAAAATTTACATTTATGTTATATTGCACCTTTCAAGTCAAGAAGATGTCTCAAAGCTTTAAATGGGTCTGAAAGGGGGCAAAAACTTAAACCATCAATCAAATCATTGAAGCCAACAAAGTGAAAATAAAAGCAGTATCTAGCCTTAAACTTTTGGTTATGTGAGAATGGTAATGTTGATTTTAAACTGGTATGAGTACCTGTGTTAGTCAAGACTTTGAATACTATATTACAGATGTCATTGCATCAAGCTTTTATTTCACTTACAGAAATACATTTACTATGCTTTGCAGTGAATCCTGTGAAACTCGTTGAGACATCCTCTCATGTGAAAGGGGCTACATCAAATCCAAAGTATTATTATAATAACATAAAAATATTATATTATAAACAACTATTATATAATAATAATCCTTGCATTTGATAGAGTGCTTTTCACATCTTCTAGATGCCTTAAAGCGCTTCACGGAATATACTGTAAAGTGAATTCACTATATATTTGTGGGCGAAACACAGCAGCCAATTGCACACAGCAGTGTCTTATAAACAGTCGTGGATTGAGTGACCAAATTACTATTTATTTATTTAATTTTCTTGAAGGATTATTATCAGGCGTGTGGAGTAAGGAAACTTGCCCAAGGTTTCGCCCTGCCGGGAATCAAATCCAGGTCTCTCGCTTGCGAGGCGACTACTCTAACCACTGAGCTACAGGACTCCATGTTGTGTATACACCTATAAACAACACACAGTGTTTTTGAAAATAGCCGAACGGTATTTTTAATTTAAAACGTTTGAACAATTATGTTAATCCTTCTGGCAATGCATCACAGCGGTATAATCTGTTGATGACGTTCCAAATATTGATCCTGTAGATAAAAATAAGCATTATCAGTATAACACAAATAAGTCCTGTGACTTCTAAACTCAGTAGAACAAATAACTATAAAGTTAAATTAGTCTTTGTAAACAATAGTTAAAGCTAACAGGATTCAAAGACCTTGTAGTATAAGGTGTAGCGCTAAAATCAAAAGTAGCAAGTTGGATTATCCAGGTTCTAAGGCCAGTGTGAAGTTTGCTGTTCTCAGTTGGAACTGGCTTCAATGGCCGTGAGCTGGACAGAGGAAAATCAGCATCAACAGCTCATGGCTGTTCAGAATTAATTCTATCTGACCTATTCTTAATTATTCTGCAATATAAACATGATTCGAATGAGTTTAGCATCTTTATTGGGGCTATGAGGCAGAGTCCATTTTTGTTATTGAGGCACACCCCAGCATGTGGCTAATGCCACGTCTACATTATGGATCCTGAGGAAGGAAAAACAGAGGACCGATATCTGAGCTTCACTCTACGGTGTGGCTGGGACTTTTACATCAAAAAGCACCTTTTTTTCTTTTGCATATACAGTAAAACATGCATAAATCTTATCTTTATAAATCATATAAACGCCTAAGTCGTACATTCACCGAATCCCATTCAGTTTCCTATCAAAACCACTTAGGCTTCAGAAGAACATCATTTCCCACGTTTCAAGGCCTCAGTTCGTATTTACCTCTCTTCTTCTGTCAGATTATGGTTGTTGGCTCAGACCGTGTTCTTGCTCATTTGACAATTCAGATGTTCCCCACTGTGAAGTGACACGCGAGTTGTTCATCTGTTGCTGTTTGCCCTGAGATAGTTTCTAAAAGGAGTAAAGTAACAAGGCAGTAACGCAAAGTAGAAGGATCAATGAAGTGGTTAAGCTACCCTGCAAGTCCCCCATCCTCTCCGTACAACCATCGGTGACTGAGCCTTCAGATCCTATGCCCACTAACCACTGGAACTCCATCCCTCTACTACTCTGTCTCATTCCCTCTCTTTCTGTCTTCACGCCCGCCTGACATCCTATCTACCTCTTCGAACGGGCCAATGACCTCTTCCACCTGCTTGGCATCCAACCCTGCTCCTACAAATGCATTCTGAGACACTACATTATGTGAAGTGTGCGACATAAATTTGTGTTGGTGTTGAATTTTTTCACCCCTGCTTTCCATTTCCTTTCTTCTTGTCCTACCACTGTTGTCAAGCAATTGTTGCCACTGGCTTCATTCTTCAGATGAAGTCTTCACTTTACCAAGTCCACTTCTTTCAAGATAATGCAAAAATCTACAGATTCATGGACTCTTCCTCATTCTGTTTTCTCTTCTCATGAGGCAAATTGTACATAATTACTCCCCAGTCCTCAAAATAATTAAACAAAACTCTAGACCATCTATCTCATCTCCATATCCACACTGTTATAACAGGACTAGATACCTCTTCCCAGTTTTGATCATCTCAGTTTATTCTTATAGAGTACTGTTTGATATTGTTTAACAATCCATATATGTATTGGTATATCCTTTACTAATTTTGTCTCACTACCACTTTTAAGACATCTGTCTAAAAACATACATTATAATAATATTGTGTAATATCATAAGAGGCAATATTACAACAACAACAACAACAACAAGATTCCATTTATTGAGCGCCTTTGACTTCGGGAGGACGTCCCAAGGCGCTGTACAGTTGGGTCAGGACCCGAGCAAGTTGGGTCAGGACCCGAGCAGGGGGGAAATGGTCAGGGTGAGGGGAGGGAAGGGAGGGAGCGAGGAGGGGGTAGAGAGTCGAGAGGGGAGCTGAAGGCACGGTCAAAGAGAAAGGTCTTGAGACCGGCCTTGAAGGAGGAAAGGGAGGAGGCGGCGAAGGCACTGGGGGATAGAGTTCCAGAGCCTCGGGGCTGAGAGGCTGAAGCCCCGGCCACCGATGGTAGGGCGGTTGGGGGGGGGATGTGGAGCAGACCGGAGCCAGAGGAACGGAGGGTACGGGCAGGTAGGTAGGGGGATAGTAGGTCAGAGAGGTAGGAGGGAGCGAAGCCGTGAATGGCCTTGTAGGTGAGGCTGAGGATCTTGAATTCGATCCTCTGGGGGATGGGGAGCCAGTGGAGGCGAGCGAGGGCGAGGGTGGGAGTGATGTGGTCGCGGTGTCTGGTGCGGGACAGTACACGAGCTGCAAAGTTCTGAATGACCTGCAGTGTGGAGGGAGGTGCCGGGAAGGCCGGCATTACTTGGATGAACATTTTAATATTTAGCTGAGTTGCAAATAATATATGCCAAATAGTTTGGGGAATTACACAAACACAATTTACCAGTTGCAGGAACTGTATCTCCGTTCGAAGAGCTTCACAAACGCTTTCCAAGTCATCTTCTCTGTGCATTTCCAACTCGTTCTTTAGCCTGAAACATTTTGAGAACAGAAAATACTGTATATTCTTCACTTTGAAACTAGTCTTTCGCAATTATGTTTGTATGCAAAAATTATAAGAAATTAACATTATGATTCTTTTTAATCTTGATAGCATATTTTCATCCATGTTTGTAGAATCCAATTATAAGTAAATTAATTTTGGTTTGAAGCTGTTGATTAATCCTCAACCCAAATCCTTTTGCTTTGCTTCTCCTTTCTCTGCTTTCAAACATTCTAAACATATCTCTTTGGACAGTACCTTTAAATTCACATTCCTGTTCAGTGCTTTCCTTTTATCTCGGTGAAGTGCTTTGAGATGTTTATTAAAGGTGCTATATAAATTCAAGCTGTTGTTGTTGCCAACAGAGCAGAATTTTCATTACAATACAGAAATAATTGTAAAATTCTGTAATTGGAAAGAATATTAAATTTTTAAGATTTGTACTTGCTTAAATATCTTTTGTGGTCAGTGTTGATATGACAGGTAAGCAGACAGTACTCTAATTAAAAACATTATTTCATACCACTGTGGTTGTAGTTGAACCAAGTACTGTCAGCAACATGACTTTCTAACTGTGTGGAATATGGATTGTTTGGTAGATTACCTCTGGAAAGTAGAACAAGTGACAGAATGACTACTCGTGTGGGAATCCCAAGGAAGAGAAAGGTAGAAATGACGCATTTCCACCCTAGTGAATGAATAGATTGAGCAGTCTTATGTAACTGTAGGATAATATTGTGAAAACAGTACCAGCTTCAATCATAAAAAAATGTAAATGTTTTGATTCAAGTATTACTTCTGTAAAACAGTTTGTACCAGAATATTACTGTTGTGATTGATGGGTCACGCCCAGAAGAAATTAACATTAAATTAATTTTCACATCAACCAATTTCTCCAAACCATTAATTTCTATGATGCCTTAGGTGATTTTAAGCAAATGTACAGCTCCTTGTATTGCTGTAATCAAAAAAATCTTTTGTATGATTTACGAGAAGGAAATGGTTCATTTGATTCATGCCACAAGTTCAGTATTGATCCTTGGTTCATTACGTTGTAACACTCGACAAAAATAAGCTCTGCAAATTTTACAGGAACTGAGAAGAAAATTCTGATAACAAGGTTTATATCTTTATTCCAATTATATCTTGGGCACTCCATAACTTTCTAATATAGAACTTTTCTGCATACAATTAGACTATTCAGACCACTGTGCCTACGAGAGCCCAGAGTGAGCTACATCCGGAGTGAGGCGAGGCCAGAGTGTGAGGGAATTTGGTGAGAGTGGGAATTAGGTGCAGAGGGGGAAGTGGGGGCAGGCTATATATCTTTGTATCTATATAAAGTTTGTGAAGATGGTGTGGCAGGTAAACTGCGAGGTCTGTCACATGTGGGAGTCAATGGAGGGCGCCTTAAGTCCGGGCAACTTCGTTTGCCGCAAGTGTCTGGAAATCAGAGAGCTCCAGCTGAGAGTAGCTGAGCTGGAGTCTCAGGTGGAGACGCTACGCAGCATTAGGGATGGAGAAAACTTCCTAGACAGCTTTATCCTGGAGCCGGACACTCCCCTGAGTCCCAAGGAAGAAGAATGTAGCAGCGACGGACATGACTGGGTGACAGTCAGGCGGGCAGGCAAGCGTTCCCGAATGAGAGGGGCTGAAGAATCCCAGACTTTAGCCTTGTCTGACAGGTATAAAATATTGGCAACCTGTGTGGACAAGGAAATCTGCGAGGAAGATGGGCAAACTGACCCCAACACCCCTGTGCAGGAGGTTAAAAATGTAATTCTTATTGGGGATGAGACAGTCGGGAGGACTGATACAGTTTTCTGTAGCCGTAGCAGGGAGACAAGAAGACTCTGTTGTCTTCCTGGGGCCAGGGTGAAGGATGTCACCGCCGGGCTGGAGATAAATTTGAGGCATGAGGGAGAGGATCCAATCGTAATGGTACATATAGGGACCAATGACATTGGTAGGACCAGTAGGGACGAGTTAAGGAGCGAGTTCCGGGAATTGGGAATTAAACTAAGGAATAGAACTTCCAAAGTGATGATATCGGGACTGTTACCTGAGCCAGGAGCTAATTGGTACAGGCAAAAGAAGATCATAGATCTGAATGCCTGGCTAAAAGAGTGGTGCGGAGAGCAGGAATTCCAATTCATGGGCCACTGGCACGAGTATTGGGGAAGATGGGAGCTTTTCCAAAGGAATGGGCTCCACCTAAATAGGGCTGGGACAAATGTCCTGGCTACGCAAATAAATAGGGAGGTAGAAAGGGCTTTAAACTACTAAGGGGGGGGGGGAGGTAAAAACATAGTAAAGTATAGTCCACCACAGTTAAACTTGAGATCAACAAAAGCAAGAGAGCAGATTAACAAGGGAGAAGAGCAAAGTGTGTCAAGCAGGGAAAGGAAGTACAGTGATAGAGTGCTGGTGAATAGGGTTAATAGCCGGAAGTCAGAATTAAGGGCACTATATCTGAATGCACGAAGCATTCGTAACAAGATAGATGAATTAGTTGCACAAATAGAGACAAACCGGTATGATCTAGTAGCCATCACCGAGACATGGTTACAGGGTGATCAGGGATGGGAACTGAATATTCCCGGCTACGTGGTATATAGGAAAGATAGGCGATGTGGTAAACGAGGAGGGGGAGTGGCCCTGCTAATAAAGGATGGGATAAAAACAGTAGAGAGGAAAGATTTTAAATCTGAAAAGCAAGATGTAGAGTCAGTATGGGTAGAGATACGTAACTTCAAGGGGCAGAAAACTATAGTGGGAGTAGTTTATAGACCCCCAAACAGTGGTCAAAGTATCGCTCAAGGTATAAATCAAGAGATTAGTGGAGCATGTAGCAAAGGAAAGACACTAATTGTGGGTGATTTTAACCTGCACATAGACTGGGACAACCAAATTGGGAAAGGTAACATAGAAGAGGAGTTTATAGAATGTATTAGAGATAATTTTCTAGATCAATATGCTGAGGAGCCGACCAGGGAACAAGCCATATTAGACCTTGTTTTGTGTAATGAAACTGGAACTTAAGGCTCCTCTAGGGCAAAGCGATCATAATATGATGGAATTTAGCGTTAAGTTAGAGAGGGAAGTAGTTAAGTCTGAAGCAAAAGTCTTCAATTTAAATCGAGCCAACTTTGCTGGTATGAGAGAGGATTTAGCCAGAATAAACTGGGAGACTAAACTTAAAGATTTGACGGTAGACCAGCAATGGCAGACATTCAAGGAGATAGTGCAAAATTCCCAACGAGCACATATTCCTTTGAGGAATAAGAATGCCATGGGAAAGGTGGTGCAGCCATGGCTAACTAGAGCAGTTAGGGAAAGTATCAAATCAAAAGAAAAAGCCTATAAAACAGCGAAGATGAGTAGTAAACCCGAGGATTGGGAGAACTTTAGGGAACAACAGAGGAGGACCAAAAAATTGATCAAGAGGGAGAAAATAGATTACGAGGGCAAACTGGCAAAGAACATAAAAACAGACTCCAAGAGTTTTTACAAATATATAAAGAGGAAAAGGCTAGCGAGGGTGAATGTGGGTCCATTACAGGCAGAGACCGGAGGAATTATAATAGGGGACAAAGACATGGCAGAGTCATTAAACAAGTATTTTTCTACAGTCTTCACCGTAGAAGACACTGGATACATACCAAAAATAGAGGACCGAGAAGACAATGTTAGCAAGCAACTTAGGGAGATTAACATTAGTAAAGTGCTTGGGGCTCAGCTATTTACCATTGACATCAATGATCTGGACGAGGACATTGAATGTAATGTGTCTAAATTTGCGGATGATACTAAACTAGGTAGCAGAGTGAGCTCTCAGGATGATGCAAAAAGATTGCAACAAGATATAGATAGGCTCGGGGAGTGGGCAAGTAGGTGGCAGATGGAATTCAATGTTAGCAAGTGTGAAATTATTCACCTTGGTAGCAAGAATAAAAGAACAGATTATTTTCTGGAAGGGGAGAAGTTAGATAGTGTTAGTATTCAAAGGGATTTGGTGTCCTTGTACACCAGTCTCAAAAAGTTAGTTTGCAGGTGCAGCAGCAACTAAGAAGGCGAACGGCATGTTAGCGTTCATTTCGAAAGGTTTAGTAGTATAAGTCTTGCTGCAACTGTATAGGGCTTTGGTGAGACCGCACCTAGAGTATTGTGTGCAGTTTTGGTCTCCTTATTTAAAAAAGGACATACTTGCCCTAGATTCAGACTTGCAGCTTAGATTCACTCGGTTGGTTCCTGGGATGAGGGGACTGACCTATGAGGATAGGCTGAATAAACTGGGGCTGTATTCTCTAAAGTACAGAAGAATTAGGGGGATCTTATTGAAACTTATAAGATTTTTAAAGGGCTGGATAAAGTAGACACAGAGGGACTGTTTCCCCTGGTAGAAGAATCTATAACCAGGGTCACAGTCTTAAAATTAAGGGTCAGCCTCTTAGAACAGAGTTGAGGAAACATTTCTTCACTCAGAGGGTAGTGAACTTATGGAATTCACTACCCCAGAAAGCTGTAGATGCTCAGTCCTTGAACATTTTCAAGGCTGAGACTGATAGATTCTTGAAAAATAGAGGGATTAGGGGATATGGGGATAGGGCAGCTAACCAGAGTTAGGTGAGAAGATCAGCCATGATCTTATTTGAATGGTGGAGCAGGCACGAAGGACCGAAAGGCCTACTCCTGCTCCTAATTCTTATGTTCTTATGTTCTTAAGCTCTAATGTTTCGCTACTGCTTATTACCATTTTGAAGTACTGTAATAAGCAAATAGCACAGTGTTAATATTACCTGCTTGTAACACCATTTCACACTTGGGATGATAAGGTTTTTATACACATACTGTATTCCAACCTGAGCACATTAATAGCCTCTGACTGCTGGTGAATATTTGCAAAACCAAAAACTCCCCCTTCTTTCCTTCCTGCAAGGTGATCCCCACCACTTTTGAAAGTACTTTGAAGTCTGTTTATGCATGAAAGCCAACGTAAACTGCAAGTTGTTGTTGACAAGATGGCCAGCTCTCATATCATCAGCTGGTCTGTCTAGCTAGACAAGACAAGGCTAGACAAGTTCTGGTTTGGATTAGAACCCTACCTCAATGTTGAGACAAAGACCTCAAAACTTGTAATAAAATACTGGTAATTAGTAGGAACAATTCCGTCTTGGGAATGATTAAATTTCCCAATTGCTCCCTTGAGTGACAAAGTTAAGCTATGTTAATGTTTTGGCAGTGCTTCCCTGTGTGCCTTAATCAAAAACATTTAAGGAAGTGCACTAACAGATGAAGACAGTTGTTCTTGCAAAAAGGAAAGCTTCTCATTTGTTTATCTTCTGCACAGTACTTGTCCACTGTATTGATGTGTGGAGGCTTTGAATAACAAAGAAGAAAATCCATTGCATCCACTTTTCCCAATCAATTAGGCGAAAGGTAGTCACCAGACTGGACAAATGGCATTTAAAATAAATTCTATGCCAAATCACTTTGTGGGTACACATCATAGTTGGACATGCACTGATTCAAACAGAAGTATGCTTACCTTAAAAACTCATGATCTGTTTGTGGTTTTTGACAAATCTGTGCTTTTTCTGCTTCTTGTGTCTGAGTGTGAGAAAAAGCTGCAGCCAGTTCATCTTTAAAATCTGGAACATAAGTTTACAATAACTTCATATCAAAAGCTCTTAACGTTACATTGATCTGTTTGTGTTGCAAAAATCATAGAACTCACAAAATCAAATCGATAAAAAACGTGGTTAACATGGATATTTTGATGTTATAACTTTAGGACTTTTTTTTCTTTTACCAGAAAACGGTGTCCCTTAAGATATTCGTTTTTTTAAATTTTAACCAAAATTCACTACCAATTATTTTAAGAACGGAATCAATCGTGTACACGTGTTACCTTCCTAGAAGTCCTGATTGCAAGCAACATGAAACAGACCAGTTCTTTAGTACTCTCATTGACTCCAGCATTCATAGAGTGATTTGCACAGTACACAGCATTGATAATTTACCTGCAATTTAGTTGCATTTAAAACATTTGTTTTATGATTTCTGAATTTAATCAGACATATTAAATTGCACTACGTTTTGCTACTGATGACCTGTCGGGCACCTTGTTCTTGTACTATCTTTCTACCCATCTCACTCATGTCCAGCAGTTTCACTATCAGTCCCATGCTGATTGATTTTATCCTGAAGTCTCTAGCTAAAAGTAATTTGCTGATTGTGGTTGCCTCACAATTAGTTGCTAAATCAGATTTGTTGATTATACTCTGATGAGAAAGGACTGCATTTTAAGGAGCCCTGGGACCTGCATTCAGTTCTGTTAGGTCTCTTTAGCGCTCTCACTGATGGGGGAGGGACTGAGTGAGTCCATTTACTTTAATGGAACTGGTCTCTTTGAACCAGTCAATCCACCTCGGACAAAAGACAACAATGCTGCTGAATAATAGCCAGCCAGTCCCTCTCTATCTCATATTAGTGCTGTACACAGCCCTGTAGGCTACAATCAGAAATGGAAGAGAACACATGGTCAATATTTGCAAGAATGGTGTGCTACACATTGGAATATGTTTTGATGACTGGGGATATAATACTAATTCTTCACAAGATTCAGAGGAGAGGCAGGTGGGGGGGGCTATGTTTTACCACTAATAAGGCATATGTTAGAATTTGTGAACAAGCCTCCTTGCCAGAAGACATTAGCTACTGGAAAGTATTGATCAAAAATGAATGGATCATCAAAGGTGAATGGATCATCATTCAGATCCTGAATCAAAGCATCAACTGAAGCTGAAAGCTGTTAGAAACACTGACATTCCCTGAATATCTACTGGAAAACCTGGCCACTCTGGCCAGGACCTAGAAGACAGACTGGACCTAGAAGTAACTGCATCTGCCAAAGCTAAACTGGTCATTAGAGCTGATGGCACCATTTGAAGACTTGATCATGGAGGACTGAGTCAGAGTCAGCTTTGGGCATTGATAGTTTGGTAAATCATAAATAATCCTTAGCTCCTTTCATGTGAGAGGATATCTCAAAGCACCTTACAGAATTTACAGTAAAGTGTAGCGACTGTATTCTTTAGGCAAACACAGCAATCGGTTTAAGTACAGCAATGTCGCACGAACAGCCAGGACCAATGAAAAATTTTATCTGGGGGATTGTTGGCCAGGACACAGGGAAAATCTCCTTTATTTTTGGTAGCCAAACAGAAAGATGGACAGACAGCTCATTGATTGTAGAAGAGGTGTGTAAGCTCCAAGGGGTTTTAAGTTGCATGGCTATATGTACTGAACTGGTATCCAACTCAGACAATCCATACTACTTGGAACACATTTGGGACTGCTCCCAACTAATATTCAGTGCCTTATTTGAGATGGCAGTAATGTGGAGTCCAGCTGAATCAAACTTTTGACATCCTCATAAGTAAGCCTTCCAGCAAACTAAACAAACATTCATATTAAACTTGTAGGAATTAAGGTAGGAAATATCTTTCCTGACAAATTTGTGATTTTAACAATGAAACTACATTGCAACAGACAAATTGTTCTTGGCAACACAAATTTACTTTGATTGTCAATGTGAGACATTTCAGTGAGCATTTGGATGAGGGTTTTACTATGTGTTCCAAGAACAGCTTGACAGAAAAACTTGCCTTATAGGAATATGTATCCACACTGATTTCCCCATTGATTGCATTACCATAGTATGTGAAGGTTAATAGGCAAATAGGAATCAATCATTTGTGAGAAACATCAACTCTTGAATATGGTAATTAGTGACAGTAGTGGTAAATTCACTTGTTTGAAACATTTACAATGAAAGAATTGAATATATTTAGAAGACAGTTTCAAAACGTAAACGTAAACTTCCCAAAGTTTTAATGTGATTTTCCATTGAAGAAACCAAGAGTTACGCCAGTAAGTTGAAAGGGTTGTACAACTATTCTTCACAGCAGTGTTAGAATGACTATTAGAAGTGCATTTAATATTCCTATCTTAAGGCTTTGCCAACCCAATACTCAGGTGGGAGGTCAAATATATTATATAATTTCAGCTATATTTTCAAACTTTTTAAAAATTTCTTTGGGATACTCAGTTTTAAACAGCTTCACATTATATAGATTAGATTAAAAGGGATTTTAAAAAATCTCCTAAATTAATACATTTAATAAAATTAATGTTAGAATCAGAAAAAAGTATTGCTTCACTAACTCGTACATGCCATCAATTAATGACTGCAGTAAAACGTAAATACAACAACAACAACAACAAGATTCCATTTATTGAGCGCCTTTCATGTCGGGAGGACGTCCCAAGGCGCTGTACAGTTGGGTCAGGACCCGAGCGGGGGGAAATGGTCAGGGTGAGGGGAGAGAAAAGAGGGAGCGAGGAGGGGGTAGAGAGTCGAGAGGGGAGCTGAAGGCACGGTCAAAGAGAAAGGTCTTGAGACCGGCCTTGAAGGAGGAAAGGGAGGAGGCGGCGAAGGCACTGGGGGATAGAGTTCCAGAGCCTCGGGGCTGAGAGGCTGAAGGCCCGGCCACCGATGGTAGGGCGGTTGGGGCGGGGGATGTGGAGCAGACCGGAGCCAGAGGAACGGAGGGTACGGGCAGGTAGGTAGGGGGATAGTAGGTTGGAGAGGTAGGAGGGAGCGAGGCCGTGAATGGCCTTGTGGGTGAGGATGAGGATCTTGAATTCGATCCTCTGGGGAATGGGGAGCAGTGGAGGCGAGCGAGGGCGAGGGTGGGAGTGATGTGGTCGCGGTGTCTGGTGCGGGACAGGACAAGAGCTGCAGAGTTCTGAATGACCTGCAGTGTGGAGGGAGGGCCGGGAAGGCCGGCGAGGAGAGAGTTCCCATAGTCCAGCCTTGAGGTGATAAAGGCGTGGACCAGAGTTTCAGCAGCGTGAGGGGTGAGGTAGTGCCATAGTCTGGTGACATTCCGGAGGTGGTGGAAGGCGGTGCCAGTTGTGGCGCAGATATGGGGGAGAAAGGACAGCTCAGGGTCGAACAGAACCCCGAGGTTCCTGACTGGCTTTGAGAGGTGGAGAGTGCAGCCTTGGATGCTGATGCTGTCAGCGCCTGAGGTGCGGAGGCGCTGACGTGAGCCAATCAGGAGGGCCTCAGTTTTGCACACGTTGAGCTGGAGAAAGTTATCTCTCGTCCAGGACTCGATGTCGGACAGACAGCTGTCAGGACATCGGTGGTCGTGGAGTTGAGGGTAGAGGAGGAAAGGTTGAGTTGGGTGTCATCCGCATACATGTGGAAGTTAACCCCATGTCTGCGGATGATGTCACCACAGGGGGAGCATATAGAGGGTGAAAAGGAGGGGACCGAGGACAGAGCCTTGAGGGACACCGCACGAGACAGTGCGGGGGCCGGAGGAAAAACCATTTGTGGAGACAAAATGAAGACGGTGGGAGAGGTACGACCTAAACCACTCAAGGACAGGGCCTTGAAGGTTTAGGTGGGAGGACAAGCGGTGGAGGAGGATAGCATGTTCGACTGTATCGAATGCTGCTGATAGGTCGAGGAGGACGAGGAGGCAGAGGGAGCCCTGGTCACAGATGGTCAGGATGTCATTGGTGACCTTGACCAGGGCAGTTTCTGTGCTATGGGCAGCACGGAAACCCGATTGAAGGGGTTCAAATAGTGAATGGTTGGAGAGGAAAGAGCGCAGCTGGGAGGCGACAACTTGTTCCAGGACCTTGGATAGGAAGGGGAGGTTGGAGATGGGCCGGTAGCTTGATAGCTGCGACGCCACCATCACTCCCACCTTTTTTAAGGTGGGAGTGATGGTGGCAGTTTTTAAGGGAATGAGAATAGAGCCAGAGGAGAGGGACAGGTTGACAAGGTCTGTGATATGTGGGGCAAGGAGTTGGAGCTGGGAGATAAGGAGTGGAGTGGGGATGGGGTCAAGGGAGCAGGTGGTAGGTTTCAGGGAGAGGATGAGTTTGGTGACAGAGGATGGGGAAACGGGTACGAAGGTGTGTAGGGGAGGATGGGTAGGAGTCGGAGTGTGGGAGGGAAGGGGTGGGTGGTGGACGGATGTTGGAGGGGAAGTGACCGCGGAGCGGATTCCCTTGATCTTGGATTCAAGGAAATCCAGCATCTCCTCGCAGTGAAGGTTGGAGGAGATGACCTGCGCGGGGTGGCGGGGGGGACGGAGGAGTTGGGATGTGGTAGAGAACAGTAGCCTGGGGTTGTCCTTCGCCTCCAGGATTATTCTGGAGTAGAAGGACGATTTGGCCGAGGCTAGAGTGGAGCGGTAGATTTTGAGGAGGTCCAGCCAGATTTGTCAGTGGACCATTAGGCCGGATTTGACCCAGGTGCGTTCAGCGGCCCGCACCTGGCTCTTCAGTGAACGGAGGTGGGTGGTGAACCAGGGGGAGGAGCGAGAGTAGGAGACAGGAGCGAGAGTAGGAGACAGAGCGAGAGTAGGAGACAGTTTATAGTTGTTTAACCTTGATATTTGCCCTGAAGTTGCAGAATCTCTTTTTTAACCCCATTTTTCTGCAGTTTGAGTGCATTCAGCTGAACGTTTTTTTGTTCAAGGCATTTCATATCTGAAACCACAAAATGGAAAACCATTAAACTTAATTATTGTTGAGACTATTATTGCCTTTTCCTTGAATTTCATTCTTTAACGTTGTTGTTTTGCAGTGTTTTACAGTGAATTTTGGTTTTATTAAAACCATTAAGCTCTAAATACAACTAATGTGGCTTTTTTACTGAGAGAAAAACTATTATGACTGAATACCCAGATAAATATTTTATTTTTCTTTCCTGTAAAGATAAACTATGTATGGTATGACTAAAATGCACAGAGATTTTGTAATTGTAGCCTGAGGAGATGAAACCACCGAGAAGGAAGATATGATGCAGTGACTTAGAAAATGTTAGCTTTTACACCTGAAGGTGAATAATCTACCTTGCTTACTCATTTTTTATACTCTACACACTCTGGGTAACTTTTCATAATATAAGTCTCACCAGAAAATGGGAGGCACGAATAAGAATACATCAAACTACTATCTATCAATCTCTGTTTTTTTCTACCAAGAACAAAGCAATAGGTCTTTTCAAAAGGTTGCCATTAACTCCTCACCCATGGCGTTACAATAACTATTGCTCCAGCCAAATAAAGCCTACTTCTAAATAATGTGACAAAGGACAATTAATTCAACTTGAGGTTTTGAGAATATAAATTATTAAGTTTCTTTTGACGTTTTCTGTCCTATTAATTGTATTCAAGAGAGGATCCTTTACTGAATTAAATATAGCTTGTATGACTCATGAGGTATTGGATAAGTAAGAAAAAGTATAATGTTTGAGGAAGTAATTCCAAAATCACCTTTGAGATGTAGGAAATGTATTATAATAATAATCATTGCGTTTGATATAGCGCTTTTCACATCTTCTAGATGTCTTAAAGCGCTTCACAGAATAGACTGTAAAGTGAATTGACTATATTTGTGGGTGAAATTGGGGGCGAAATTGACTCTATGCTCCTGCTAAATGAGGTAGGGCAACTCATCTTCCAAAGTATAGAGCTCATTGACCCTAAGACCTGAAGTAGAACTATCTTCTATGAAAACAGTTTATAATTTGTCAAGTATTTCTGCATCTTGTGCACCAATATTTGATAAGATTCAAGAAAAACATGCTCAATATTGAACTGGGCCAGACTGACCTTTAAGTACCAGTCCAAAACCATTTATTAAATCTAGTCATCACAACAAGCTTATAGCAGCGGAGAACTGAAATACTATATTACCTAAATCATTCTAAAAGGAAAGCTAGACCAGAACAATTGAGAAACAAATATTGGCTGCCAATAGAATAACACTGAGTTGCACGCATACTTAGCTGACACTCACTGTCAGTTAATATTAAAAACAAACTGCATCAGAATGGTTAAAAAACAGCACACAGATTCTAGTGTTGATAGGGATAACTAAAGGTTATTGACATCTCTTGGTTCCAGACCAGATGGGGAACTCAGAGGATATGAATTTGAGACTCAAGAGTTGTATGTGTACAGTGATGGAGGGAATTGCTAAAGGAAAGTGTCTCTTGGGGATTTTTCTCCAATTGTATTGCCGACCTACGCTAGGTGAATAGATGAGTAAAGAAGTTATAGTCAGAATTATAACTCTGTGGCTTTATTTAACAAACCCATGTGATTACTGCAAATAGATATCAATCAAAATGTTATGTTGCGCATACAATTCTGCTTAATAACTGTGCAATATTAATTTATTCAGATGAAGTTTCAATCTGTTTGCTGTAGTCTGTAAGAAGCAGCAGTGCTAACTATATACATTAACTAGAAAGTTAAACACATCGATTCAATACAAACAAAATTTATACTGGCAGGTTAGTTTCTACTTCACTGAACAAATCAAATGCACTGTTAAACCAGTGCCTTATGCACAAATTGTATAATGACAGATCAAGAGAATTAAAAAATATTGTTGTGTGTAATGCTCCATGAGATTTTCAGCTATGGGATGCTGACTGCTTTAGTTTGCCACACTGTCAACCAAATTCTAAATGTTTTGTGTTGCTTTAAGTATCAATGTGTATAGCTAAAAGGGCAAAATGTATGTCACAACAACAACAACAACAAATTACATTTGTATAGCGCCTTTCACGTCGGGAGGACGTCCCAAGGCGTTGGCACAGGAATGATACTGGGTTCATACTGAGCACTGGTTCAGCCTCACCTTGAATATTATGCGTAAATCTGGTTGCTGTATTAATGTACCGATATCTTGACAGAAGGAAAGAGTAACAGAAAAGGAAGAAAAATGATATCTGTAATTAGATACCTGAATTACAAATTGAGGCTGCATAAGCTAGGAATTTTCACACTGAAGAAAGATTCAAGGGAGATCTTATTGGTTTATTCAAGATCCTAAAAATACAGATGAATTGAGCCCTGATTCTAAATCTAAATGTTTGACATGGTCAAAGACTCTGCAAATGGGCTCAGAAGAATGTAGCTTAACTTTAACTTTAACTGAGAGTGGTGAACATGTGTAATAGCTCACCTAGAGAGTTGGTGGAGGCCGAAAATTAGACAGCTGTTTTGTGAACAAATCAATTAAGAATACAAAGGATGGAGTAATGTATGAATTTTTATTTACATTAAGCCTGGACACATGGTCCAGAATGGCCTTCTGGACCATCACACCAGCTCTAGCCAGGGCTCCACTAGCTCCTCATTATCGAATGGATTGATTTCAAGATCCTCACACTTGTTTTCAAATCCCTTCATGCCCTGGCACCTCCCTACCTCTCCGACCTGCTTATCCCCCAACCCACAACCTGCTGCCTCCGCTCGACTGGCTCCAGCCTTCTCCATGTCCCTCGTGCCGTGCTTTCAGCCACTATGCCCGGAAACTTTGGAACACCCTTCCTCTATTCCTCCGCCTTGTCCTTTCCTTCCCCATCTTTGGGTCATGCCTGAAGACCTTCCTATTCAACCGTGCCTAGTCACCCCCACCCCCACCCCCAGCTCAGCGTCGTGCCCTGCCACTGTCAAACGCTCTGGGAAGCTGCCCTGCTTGAGGGCCACTGTATAAATTTCTTGTTGCTGTCTTTTTCAAACATATACATTCTACGCTCCTATATGTTTCGAATTGTGATTCAATTGAAAATTTTAACCCACAAAACAATCTTTAAGCAACCCTCTACACCTGTGGAAATCGACTTAAATCAGTAGAAATTTTGTGGGTTAAAATCTATCTTATGAATTGTGCTCTGACTATATTTAAAATGCTTAAAATTGAATTAAAAAAAATATATTCACCACTTTCCAGGCACCTGGCTTCTGCTTCCAAGTCACATATTTTTGTCTTTGCTTTGATTTCAATTACAATTGCTCTGTTACTTAGTAGGTCGTACTCGGTGTTAAATTCTGAAATCTCGCTAACAAATTTCTCTCGTTCCTCAGTATATTTCCTCTTCTTTTCTTTCTACAAGAAAGAATTAAGTACAATTCTAATGATGAAAAACATACCGGATCAGTTATTTCCAAAAATTCTAAGAGCCGAAGCCTTTTCTTCTGAGGTAAATCAATTAGAATTTTGAATACTGAATTTTCCTTGAGCATTTTTGTACCAGTTAGCACCAACATGATTTTCTACAAACATTTTTTCTTCCCCTCTTCAGAATTCTGCAGGTGTGTACACACCCACAAAATATACAGTCAATTCACTTTACAGTATACTCTATGAAGCGCTTTGAGATGTCTCGAAGGCGCTATATCAAATGCAAGAATTATTATTATCATTCCCTGGCGGAGCAGGTGTGTAAAAAGCCTCCACTAGAGCTACTCTCAAGTTTGACACCAATGGCCATAGTCAATTTACCTTCTTCTGCTCAGCCAGGGAATGATATTAATAATCTACTTGCACAAAAGTACCTGCCAGACTACTTGAGGATACCATCGGACAGTATAATGAAGATCAGAAATGCAAAATTAAAGCAACTGCAGAGAAGAAAAACCATTGCATCACTCCTTCTTTAATGGGAGGACCAATGCCCTATACCATCTGACTTTTCTTTAAACATAGTACAAAAACAAAGATATGCAGAAATATATGAACTGACGGGGAATATAGTGTACATTTCTGCATTCGTTTTCAATTTAAATATTAATGAAAGTATCTGAGGACTGATTTTGTGTCACACAGCACACAATATCTAAATTTCTGCGGCTAAAATATACCGGCACAAAATGTTTCCTAACTGGCAGTCAACAACAACAACAACAAAATTACATTTATAGAGCGCCTTTCACGTCGGGAGGACGTCCCAAAGCGCTGAGCAGTCAGATGTCAGGGCCCGAGCATGGGGGAGGGGTGGTGTAGGGGTGAGGGAAATCAGAGAGGTGGGAGGGAGACCAAAGGTACGGTCAAAGAGAAGGGTCTTGAGACCGGCCTCGAAGGATGCAAGGGAGGAAGCGAGGCAAAGGGACCGTGGGATGGAGTTCCAGAGTGTGTGGGCAGAGAGGCTGAAAGTCCGGCCACCGATGGTAGGGCGGGTCAGGCGGGAGACGTGGAGCAGACCGGAGCCTGATGAGTGGAGGGAGCGAGCAGGTTGGTAGGGAGTCAGCAGGTCAGAGGTAGGAAGGGGCAAAGCCATGGATGGTCTTAAAGTTTTATGGTTTTGTTCTCAATATATGGAGTATAACGGGGGAAGTGTGAAGCTAGTCACCTAAGTAGTTAAAAATAAAAAAGCGGATTATTTTTTAGAGGGGGAGAGACTAGATAGTGTTAGTGTTCAGAGGGATTTGGGTGTCCTTGTACACCAATCACAAAAAGTTACTATGCAGGTACAGCAAGCAACTAGGAAGACTAATGCCATGTTGGTGTTTGTTGCAAAAGGGTTAAAGTACAAGAGTAAGGAAGTCTTGCTGCAGTTGTACAAGGCCTTAGTGAGACCAATAGAATATTGTGTGGAGTTTTGGTCTCCTTATTTAAGAAAGGACATACTCGCCTTGGAGGGGGTGCTGCATAGATTCCCTAGGTTGGTTCCTGGGATGAGGGGGTTGACCTATGAGGATAGGTTGAGTAAACTAGGCTTATATTCTCTAAAATATAGAAGAATTAGAGGTGATCTTGTAGAAACCTATAAGATTTTTAAGGGTCTTGACAGGGTAGATGCCGTGAGACTGTTTCCCCTGGTTGCAGAATCTAAAACTAGGGGTCATCATCTCAAGATTAAGGGTCAGCCTTTTCGAACTGAGTTGAGGAAACATTTCTTCACTCAGAGGCTAATGAATTTATGGAATTCTCTACAAAAAAATGTGGATGCTCAGTCCATGAACATATTCAAGACTGAGGTTCATAAGATTTCTAAAGAATAGAGAGATTAAGGGATATGGGGATAGGGCGGGTAAATGGAATTAGGTTAGAAGATCAGTCATGATCTTATTAAATGGCGGGACAGGCTCGAAGGGCCTAATGGCCTACTCCTGTTCCTATGCCTTATGGTCTTTGGTCTTATATAATATGCTAAACATAACTGCAATAATCAAGAAAATGCATTAAACACAAGAATTAAAAACTTACAAGTGCTTCGAGGTAGATATTATTTTCTCTAGTTATCTCTTCTCTTTGTTTCTTTAAGCTTTCCTCTCGTTTCTTTAGTAGTTCCAAATGGAATTTTTTTTCTGAGAACTCCTGTTTCTTTGGTGAAATACAGTGACACAAATTGATCAGTTAATTGATACCTATGCTGCAGAGATCTACATAATTACCAAAACAATTACAAATCTTCCCTTCAATTTGAACAGTAATATTTTCGGGAGGCTGTCCCATACAAGTGAAAAACATTTCCATGTTCTTTGAATATCTAGAAAAGAACATTATTTTGAAATCTTATTTCTATTTTTAGTTACAGTAATAATCCTTGTATTTGATTATATCACCTTATTACATCATCAAGACGTCTCAAAGTGCCTTACAGAATTTACGAAGATTATAGCTTCAAGTCAAATTAGCAGGAATAGATTGGAAAGCCTCTTAAAGTAGATACTAAAGAATTCATGGCATAATTTGAAGAGAAGGGAGTTTACCCTGGTGTCCTAGCCCCCAATCTACCACAGAAAAAATGTTCATTATTCACTTCATTGATGTTAGTGTGACTTTGCTTGCCTATAAATACAATCACTGAAGTCTAAAGAATACAACGTGAAGCACTTTGAGATGTTCAAACCTGATAATGTTCTATTTCAAATGCAAGGATTAATATGTATGATGTAAATGTTACAAAAATAAGTTTTAAGCAAAGTAATTTTTTTTGATCAGCCGGATGTCTGACATCACCATACTTAAGAGTATCCAACCCAAGCTGAGATTTCCATGCCTCTCACCTACATATGGAAAGCCCAGAGATAGATTGTTGCAATGGAATGCTCACTCTCCCTGGAGGGACGCATCCTGCTTCGCTGATTCCGGAAAGTATTAGGCGCAGGTTGGCAAGAGCCAAGGCTTGGATATTAGGGTAACTGCTGAAGCCTAACCAGTTAAAACCGCATAGCTTGCCATTGATTGCCATTGTCTGGCAAGCTTTCCCGCTGCTTGTCCAGCTATGATCATCCTACCTAGCGCTTTGGTTTGCAGTTAACTGGGATGACTCCTTGCCCCCAGTGTCTGGTCTGCCCTTCCAGGTCCTGCTGATGAGCCAGGCTGGCTGTGCTGTCATCCGCAGTGCCCTGGAACACTGCATAGTAAGATTCGCTGTCCAGTGAAATTTCATTAGCTCTTGAAGTTTGGCTGTTTGCAGGATTGCGCATAAATTGGCTGCTGTGTTTACCTAAAATAGATAGTCACTTCACTTGACTGCATTTACTTGTAAAAGGCTTTGAGATGTTTCAACATTACATGTGCACTGAGTTTTGTTCAGAAGGATCTAAGGCACCTATCATGGCATTCAGTGACAGTAAATACCCATTATGTCCTTCTTGTGCATTGATATTTTTCATTTAGCAGTATAAAGTGGTCACCTATCTTGTGTTTTATTGGAATTATTTCAATGGTTGTTTACAATTAACTCAATGCATCTTTTTTCTAGAAAGCTGGAACGTTAATAATATTGTACTTTAGTTGCTTCTGCCTTCCGCTGAAGCTATTTTCTGATTTTCTGATGTATTTACCACCAAACACTTCAATTATCACAGATAATTTACTTTCTAAATTACAGCCTGAGCGTGCAGGATTCTTTTTATGTTTCAGATTAGGGGAGGGAAGGGAGCAGGCTGGTTGGATTTTAGTTACTTCTTTGAAAAACAGGTATTTTGATTAATTCAACATTTTAAATGTTAATGCTTCAAGTTTCAAAACATTCATTCAGTACATAATATTTTTGAGATTCCTAGATATCTTTCCCAGAAATCTAAGATCCTTACTGAAATTGTTTTTTTAAAATATTATCATGGTAATGTTCAATGTTTTATATTTGCTCTCTGACCAAACTGGAAATAGAGTTCAAGATGAACTGGATCTGAAAACAACCATGAATATGCTCAAGATGTTTTGAGTCCACTTGTTTAAATTTCTCTCTGCTTTCTCAACACTTCTTCAACACTGAATCGTTCAAAATGTCCTTTTTTTTACCAATTGATACTTATAGTACCAGAGGTTGGATTAAATACACCCAGAAAATAAAAGTGGAGTAAAGGGAAAAAAAGGCAGCATTACCCTCTGAACACATTTCACCAGTTGAGAACGATATATTTGGCTATTTCAGAAAAGCAGTGCTTTATGTGTAGGATATTAAAGCTTAGCAGATAAAATCTGACTGCCATATGTGAGTAACTGTAGTCACATGGAAACTCAGTGCATAATTATTACTGCTTTGTCATTTACTGTGAAGGTGGCAGCAGCTAGACTTACAGTATTACGTTTCATGTTATGGGAACTTTATACACTGCTTGCTTTTCAGAATTACATGGCATTATTCCATCAACCATAGAAGATTGCATGTCGCTCGTTACAGCTATTTCACTCATATAGATGTTATAGAATTGAGCATAACAATCGAAAATGCATCAATAGGTTAATGTCAAGAGTGGGTTTCCCAGAGTAGTAGATACTATGAAGTGGACATTTAGACAGATGAGTCCTCACAGAAATAAAGGAATTTAGGTATAGGAGAGAGCCGTTTGGCCCATCAAGATCATTCAGTACAGATAATTCCATTGCGCAAATACTACATTCTCCCTAATCCCACTTTTGCCATATGCATTAATATTTCTACTCCTCAATTATGCATCCATCTGTTTCTTAAATCAGTCAACCGATTTCTCATTTATAGTTTCTGGGGAAGTTCATTCCAAATTCTCATTACTCTCTACAAGAAAAAATTAATAACATTAATATTAATCCTTCCATTTGATATAGTACCTTAGCAAATTGTCAAGATGTTTCAAAGCGCTTCACATGATTTACTATCAAGCATAGTGACTCTGTATTTGTAGAAGAAATTCAACCCTGTCCGGGTGCTAACTATTTTTTAACCTTAATTTATACACAATCTTCGGCAAAGTTAAATAGGAAAGGTGTGTTGGCTTAGGGTTGTTTTGGAATAACTCACCCTTAATGCCACCATATACATTACTTAGCTCCTTTGCATTGTAAGATCTTTCGGTTTCCAACACGTACTCTGTCGATCAGCGCAGAACGCATTCATATAGGAATCATCAAACAAGTCGAAGGCCTTTGAATAGTAATCCATTTTAAAGATAGGTTTCCACACCATAATTCAATATCAGTCTGCCATCCATTTTTGACTTTTCTGACTGTCATTGTGTGTAACGTTCCATGATCAGTTTTACAAACCTTGACTTCTTGAAGTTTCTGAACATCCAAGTGGTGTGCAAATGCCAAAAATGTAATCACACATATGTATGTCGATTCTTCTTCACCGATATGCTTGAAAATACTATTGCCACCATAAATCTTGATGTTGGACTATGTATCCTTTACAGATCTGTCAACAAACTCTTCAATCTAAAAAGTCTTCATGCAAAGACCAAAGTGATAACATACATAAAATACTACTCACTGACAGCGATGCAGTTTACTCATATGAAGAATGATCTATAGACTATCACAGACTATTATTCAATAGCGCTACACACACTGGCATGACTATCGGCCTGAAAAAAACATCACCAAACTTGGCGAGACTTCAGTTAAATCCTTTCCACATAATGTTTGAAGCTCCGACACCAGTAGATACATTTACCTGGGTAAAAATCATGAGCTTCATGTCCCTTTAAGACGTGATATAATTTGTCATAGAATCAGTAGTATCACCCATGTGAACCCTTCGATTCCACTTGATCCACTTCAACAACAACAACAACAAGATTCCATTTATTGAGCGCCTTTCACGTCGGGAGGACGTCCCAAGGCGCTGTACAGTTGGGTCAGGACCCGAGCAGGGGGGAAATGGTCAAGGTGAGGGGAGGGAAGGGAGGGAGCGAGGAGGGTGTAGAGAGTCGAGAGGGGAGCTGAAGGCACGGTCAAAGAGAAAGGTCTTGAGACCGGCCTTGAAGGAGGAAAGGGAGGAGGCGGCGAAAGCACTGAGGGATAGAGTTCCAGAGCCTCGGGGCTGAGAGGCTGAAGGCCCGGCCACCGATGGTAGGGCAGTTGGGGCGGGGGACGTGGAGCAGACCGGAGCCAGAAGAACGGAGGGTACGGGCGGGTAGGTAGGGGGATAGCAGGTCGGAGAGGTAGGAGGGAGCGAGGCCGTGAATGGCCTTGTAGGTGAGGATGAGGATCTTGAATTCGATCCTCTGGGGGATGGGGAGCAGTGGAGGCGAGCGAGGGCGAGGGTGGGAGTGATGTGGTCGCGGTGTCTGGTGCGGGACAGGACACGAGCTGCAGAGTTCTGAATGACCTGCAGTGTGGAGGGAGGGCCGGGAAGGCCGGCGAGGAGAGAGTTCCCATAGTCCAGCCTTGAGGTGATAAAGGCGTGAACCAGGGTTTCAGCAGCGTGAGGGGTGAGGTAGTGCCGTAGTCTGGCGACATTCCGGAGGTGATGGAAGGCGGTGCCAGTTGTGGCGCAGATATGAGGGAGAAAGGACAGCTCAGGGTCGAACAGAACCCCGAGGTTCCTGACTGCTTTGAGAGGTGGAGAGTGGAGCCTTGGATGCTGATGCTGTCAGCGCCAGAGGTGCGGAGGCACTGACGTGAGCCAATCAGGAGGGCCTCAGTTTTGCGCACGTTGAGCTGGAGAAAGTTATCTCTCGTCCAGGACTCAATGTCAGGACATCGGTGGTCGTGGAGTTGAGGGTAGAGGAGGAAAGGTAGAGTTGGGTGTCATCCGCATACATGTGGAACCCCATGTCTGCGGATGATGTCACCAAGGGGGAGCATATAGAGGGTGAAGAGGAGGGGACCGAGGACAGAGCCTTGAGGGACACCGCACGAGACAGTGCGGGGGCCGGAGGAAAAACCATTCGTGGAGAGGAATGTATAATTGGTGCCCCAAACAACATGAACTAATTTCTTTTTACCCATAGTCTCGAAGTTACAAAGACACTATTCCTATAACTACTGCGACCCAGAGTGGGATCACAGGGTGTGGAAGATTCACGAATAATGTACCTTAGAACCAATGCAACCGGTGCCCTCATCCATTTTGTCAGCTCCGGCCTTGACTATTGCAATCCCCAGCTCTACTATCCACAAAATCCAAATAATTCAAAACTCTCAACGTGATATATCACATGCAAGGATTAATATTTTATCATTATTATTTATTGTATAAAATTCGACCCTAATAGTTATTCCAGTGAAAACTATTCATAAACTTGGAACACTGGAATTTTTTCAGTACAAAGTTTCAAAGTTTTCAATTTCATCCTTTCAGTTAGGCAAGTTTCCCTGCAGTATGTGAAGAGCATAGATTCACTGAAAAAAAATGTATATTCTAAAATGGATTTAATGCCAGATAACATCATCAGAAAAAAAAGTACAAAAATGCTATAATAATAATAATCCTTGCATTTGATATAGCGCTTTTCACGTGGGGAGGACGTCCCAAAGCGTTTCACAGAACACACTGTAAAGTGAATTGACTGTATATATTTGTGGGCGAACGCGGCAGCCAATTGCGCACAGCAATGTCCCACAAACAGTCGTAGATTGAAAATGACCAATTTATTATTAGTTTGGGTTTTGGAGGGATTATTATTAGGCTCTGTGTGGAGTAAGGAAACTTGCCCAAGGTTTCGTCCTGCCTGGAAAGGTCAATGAATAATTATGGTTATGTTGCTATTTAAACTCCAGCGAATATCTCACACCAGCACAACAACATCTTCTTTGTGAGGCAACTATTCAGGTATGAAAAGCAAATATTATCATTCACATTCTAACTATATGGTATCTGCCTTCACAGAACACCCAAATTAATGTTTGCTCTATGCTTTTAAACATCCTCAGACATTTTCTTTGAAGAATCCAATAAACGTTACATTCAGGTCACCAAAAATAGGAATGTAGAGAAATAAGAATCGAAATAAGTAAGATCTTTTGCTTCTTGCCTTTGTGAATTTCATAAGTAGTCAATTGTTCAATAATCATCAACTATGTGGTAAATCCATATCAAGCTAAAGTTGATAAACTTTGTTATCAAATAATAGGTAAACAATATGACATTGTTTTCAATTTAATACAGTAAAGCATCATTACTGTGGAGTCCTGTAGCTTAGTGGTTAGAGCACTTGCTTCACACGCGAGAGACCTGAAATCCATTCCCGGCAATGAAACGTTGGCAAGTTTCCTTACATCACACCTCTGTTTACCTAGCAGTAATGAAGAACTTGACTGTTTAATCGAATGGCGGATCGCTTTTCTGGGAGAAATAATTCCTTAAAAAAAAATGGTCACTTAGTACACGACTATTTGTGGGACACAAACAATTTGTTGTCGTGTTTCGCTCACAAAGTGTACAGTCAATTCACTTTACAGAATATTCTGTGAAGAACTCTATATTACATGCAACGATTATTATTAATATAAAGGACTTCATTATAATGCAGATTTATACTTAGGAAGTGGTTGCCCTGTGGACTTGCAGCTAGCTTTCTGTAGGCATATGCGGAGCAATGTCACTGGCCAAGTTATAAGTCATGTAATAGTGCAGAAGAACTGATCAGCTAATGCTTGTGTTTATATAAGGCTGGTTGGGATTTTATGGCCCTCAACTCCCACACTGTAACAGGGCTTTGCTGTAATTTAAATGTATTCTACACTCTTCCATCATTCTGCCCATCAAGTTTCTACTACCATTGATAGAGAGACTCCATATTCTTACCAATCTATATCAAAACAAATCATAGGCAATAATTAAAGCAATAAATATTAGTGGGGGAAATTTAAACTGTTTTAATATAAAAATTCTTTGCAATAATACGAAATTAACAATTTTGTGTGATAAGGTTACAAGTTATGAATTTTTCAAGAACAACAACAAGATTCAATTTATAGAGCGCCTTTCACGTTGGGAGGACGTCCCAAGGCACTGGACAGTTGGGTCAGGACCCGAGCATTGGGGGGAAATGGTCAGGGTGAGGGGAGGGAAGGGAGGGAGCGAGGAGGGGGTAGAGAGTGGAGAGGAGAGCTGAAGGCACAGTCAAAGAGAAAGGTCTTGAGACCGGCCTTGAAGGAGGAAAGGGAGGAAGCGGCGAAGGCACTGGGGGATAGAGTTCCAGAGCCTCGGGGCTGAGAGGCTGAAGGCCCGACCACCGATGATAGGGCGGTTGGGGCGGGGGATGTGGAGCAGACCGGAGCCAGAAGAACAGACTAAGAGGTTTTGACAACGTGATAAGATACTCTATCAAATGCAAAGATTATTATTAATCTTTGAAGAAGGAAAATGATGTAGAATATCTGTCCAGAAACTTCTAAAAAATCACATGGTGCCAACTTTGGGTAGTTAATATTGAAAGAAAAACAAGTAAAAGAAAGTAGAAAATATTTCATAGTTATTTTTTACTTTCTTTTACTTGTTTTTCTTTCAAATTTAACTACCCAAAGTTGGCACCATATGATTTTTTAGAACTGAGACAAGAAAATCAAGGAAATGATCAGCTAAATGGAGAATAAATATCTTTTCAGGGAAAAAAATATGTGGCATTGATTGTGTGGTTTGTATGGGGGTAATTTTATTTACCTTACGTGAAACAAATGGTATCAAACGTGTAATATTTTAGAAGTGTCACTCTCGTGATTTTTTTTATAGCAGAATCTATCTAATAATGTCAACAGCAGTGACAGTCTCCAAAGTTTGCAGAGGATGTTGAACAAAGATGAATTTAATGTTATATGGAGACCATGAATCAAAATGAGTTTGCTGTGGAATGATTTATCAAATGTCTCCTGAAGTTCATGTCCATATAAGGATTTATAAGAAAACTGGTTAAATGCTTTGAGGAAAATTCATATGAAAGGTTGTGGAAAAGAGCAAGAGAATGGATTTAAAACAGATAGTTCCAGCAGGGAGGAAGCATTAACACAGACAAGTCATATCGGATAGCATCCTTCTGTGTTGCACATGTTTACAATTCTATTTAGATCCTCTGGTACTAATGTCATGGTTTATTTTATAAGAAGTCTAGGTTTTCCCTACCCTATATTTGTATACTCCAACTATATCCTTCTTTCCAAATTGTTCCAATCTTTTTTCATGGTTAATAATAATAATAATAATCCTTGCATTTGATAGCGCTTTTCACGTCGGGAGGACGTCCCAAAGCGCTTCACAGAACATTCTGTAAAGTGAATTGACTGTATATATTTGTGGGCGAACGCGGCAGCCAATTGCACACAGCAATAATAATCCTTGCATTTGATATAGCGCTTTTCACGTCAGGAGGACGTCCCAAAGCGCTTCACAGAACATTCTGTAAAGTGAATTGACTGTATATATTCGTGGGCGAACGCGGCAGCCAATTGCACACAGCAATGTCCCACAAACAGTCGTAGATTGAAAATGACCAATTTATTATTGTTTGGTTTTGGAGGGATTATTATTAGGTGTGTGGAGTAAGGAAACTTGCCCAAGGTTTCGTCCTGCCTGGGATTGAACTCAGGTCTCTCATTTGCAAAGCGAGTGCTCTAACCACTGAGCTACAGGACTCCACGAAGTCCCTTTACACTTTTGATCAGTTTTGTTGGTCTGTCTATAACTTTTCTAATGGTAATATACCTTTTACATGTCGTGTTGAACAATATTCAAAACATCATCTGACAAATATATTCATCCTCTTTCTAACTCCTTTGAGGTTCTAGTGTAGTGCATTAGTTACTTCCTTGGCTCTATCCTTAATAGGTTCTGGGATCAACTGTGAATCCAAATGTGGCATATATTTTAAGAACACTTATCTCTGGCATTTTTTTCTTATTTAAGTTTAGGAAGTGTTGAAGAAAAGTTTTTTGGCTTTATTGGTGGGGATCAAAATTGTTTTTTGGCAGGGCTCGAAATTGAAAATAGACAAGTGCAAGATTAGGTGCACAGAAAATGGATATCAGCCAGAACAAGGGTGAAAATAATATTTTTCAGCTTTGAACACCAGTGAACCAACTGACAAGTTTTAAAATTTAATTATTGTCCTATTAAAAATATCAATAAATAAACCAAAAATGCTGATATAGCATTTATTCTTTGCCATAAAACAGAATAATTAAGTACAGTGTACAATTATAATACAATATTTTGTAATTATTCAAATGATGAGTGGGAGATATTCTGTCAGTCCAGAGCATGTTTCTATGATGAAATTATAGACTTGTTCCTTGCTAAATTGTAAAATCAATTCAATTTAAATTGGAGAAAAAAGCTAACTCTAATGTAACTGAAAACACAAAGAGGATTACTTGTGATATTTTTCAGACATTGAACTGCAGTACTGTATTTTGTTTCTAGTACGGAATGCAAATTCATACTTAAGGAATAACCTTAAAAGTACAAGTAGAAAACAACCAGTTGTGGTGAATGGGTGAGTGTGAAAAACTGACAAAATAAAGTTATTTATTGTAAGCCAATATCAATTTTCTCAGTGTACGAAGACCCAGTTCTGCATATAGCCTTTAATACAACATTTAAAAAAAATAGTTTCTTAGCAGATGGTTTAGAGTAGAATCTATGGAGACCTGGGAGTAGATTGCTTGTTCACTTTTTTTAGGCCCAAAATTCCACCTAGTCTTTTTCTGTAAAATAGTTTTGTCTTAAAATTTAAGTTTTGCAGAATTGTGGAAATTGGCTCAATAGCAATTTAGTTTTTAAGGAATTGAAACAGAGAAACCCTGGCTGGACAGACAAATGTAGGGGTGGGGGGGGGGAGGGGGCCTTATATAGCTCAAAGATATGCAGATGTCTTATTAAAAATAACTTAGTTTTCACAATTTAAATAAACACACTCACCTTTAACTCTAATGTCATTCTGTTAGCACATAATTCTTCTTTGACCTCTCTGAGTTTTTCATTACATCTGATCATTTCTGATTTCACTGCAACAGACACAGCAAGGAATATAAATTCACTAGATAAGAAACAAAAGATGATCAAAATTGAAAGACTTATCGTATGTCAGCAGATCGGCACTTAAAACAAATCTTGAGTGTTCAGTGAACTCAGACCATAATCCCAGAGTTATGTCTGCAATTCACAAGATTTGTGTGCATCTGTTGAACCCTGATAAAAAAGTATACCTTCGAAATGCCTCCCCAGAGAGGATTAAAATTTATAAAGTGCACTAACTATGAATCTATCTTTAAAAAATGAACTTAGGGTTTGTTACTATTGTATTCAATATTTCTCACTGCAACACATCTCTATGGAGGCCAATCATTGTGTATTCTTTTATTCTGGTATTTGTCTGCATAATTCTTCAAGAACATTGCCCCAAATTAGTTTTTGTTCATTTGGGAGGGGGTGTGGGGGGGCACTAGTTACTATTTTACTAACAAAATTCATGCAAAACCTTTTTTAAGATTGATTAGAATCTGTCATTTGTATGCCTTCAGAGGTCATTATATTTGTCAGTTTGCATTTCAATTACACAATGACAATTAAAAGCAGTATTGCAATTACACTGATTAAGTAGATTGAGAAGCTATTGTGGCACGGGTATTTTTGCACATCAAAACAGGATTAAGGCTGACTCAGCTTTAATCATTAAATCATGAAGCAAAATGACAACTCTCTCCAAAGCATATGATTTTGTGTGCTCATCTGATGGCAAAGATGATGAGTGTGAAGCATTTTCAATGTCTATAATAAATTGTTGCATGATTTAGTGAGCGAGTACATCAATCTCTCAGAAATGTTCCTCGATGCTTATGCTGTGATGGACATAATTTGCTTAATGTTTATGACAGCTCTTCGGATTGATTTTTACAGCACATTATGGGTGTGCAAGTTTAAATGTGTAAATGCTTCTTATGCTGCATCCCTTGATTTCACTCCTTACTAACTCAACAATATTATTGTAGCTGTAATAACAACATTGAGAACTGCTGCGGTTTCCAAGTGGCAGCTATTGAGGCTTTTAATAAAGAAATCCTTTATGCAGTTTAATAATCAAATGATTTTATTGTGTCCTGCAATGATATTTTGCCTTGAGTTGTTGAAAATGGTCCTCTTCCAACCACAAAGGGTTGTTTTCTTGTCCTGCAGTTTATAGTGTCTCTTGTAGACACAAACTTATAGCGAGCTTTCAGCTTTTTGTGGGACACTGCTGCTTGCAAAAGCGCCAGAGCTTTTTTGCCTACAAAACACACATTCACTACACTTCACTTTATCCCGAACTCTGCAGCCCGTGTCCTCTCCCACACCAGGCTTAGCCAGCTTACCCAACTGTGCTCGACTCGGTGCGAATCAAATTCAAGATCCTTGCTCTCTAAAGGTCAAATCCCTCCGCTATCTCGCTGTCACCCCCTGCAGCAAAACAGCAAGCACCAGCTCTGCTTCACGTGGCACCCCACGATCGACGGCGAATCCAGGGTGGGGGTTGGATGAGGCAGGGAAGTCTTCAGCCGCTCTGCTTCTTGCTCTCTTGAACGTCATACTGGCCGGACTCCCTCCAACTCCTTCCCTTGTCCAAGACCTGGCTCAGGGCTACCACTTCGGCCTTGCGTTTGATCACCTTTCACACACACACACACACACCCGCCCAGCTACCGCGCCGGGAGCTTTGCCAAGTGGCCATCGGGCTCTTTTGAGACATTCTCTCCAATGTGAAAGGTGTTGTATAAGTTAGGGTGATCACACGTCCCTGATATCTGGGGGCAATCGCTGGATAATGTATTGTGTCCCTGGGAAAATGTCCCCTGTCTTGGGATAAGCAACAAACCTCACAAAAACATTCTAAAGACAGAGACACAAATCAAGGAAATGCAGCCATTAAACCAACAACATTCTCCAGTATCGTCAGCATCAGGAATTGTGCCGAGTTTGATTTTTTATACGTCCGTGGATTTGGTTTACAAAATATGGTCACCCTAGTATAAATATAATAATGCATGCAATGGATATATATTTGATATACAACTTCAAGATGTCTCAAAGTGCTTTGCAGGATATACCGTAAAGTGGATTGACTATGTATTTTGTGGGTGAAAAGCAGCAGCCAGTTAGTACACAGCAGTGTCCCACAAACTGCCATGAAGTGAGTGGCCAATTTCATTTGGGGAAATTGTTGGCTAGGACACAGGGAGAAACTCTTTCTCTTTTCAAACAGTGTCATGGGATCTTTAACATCCACCTGAACACAAACCTTAGTATATATAACACCTCATCCGAAAGACGGCATCTCCGACAATGAGGCACACCCTCAGCACTGCATTGGCGTGTCATCTTAGACTATCTTATTCCAAGTGCCGACGTGGGGCTTGAACCGACAAACCTCTCGGTAAAAGATGAGTGCCACTACTGCGCCAGGCCGACGCACTTGTACAAATGTAATATTATGTGTATTATTAAGTTTGAATCACTCTGTAGATGTAATCTCAAAATGGATTTCAAGGTCAGCCAGACCAATAACACTGCCAAGTTACATATGAATATTAAAATACCTGGTGAACTAAATATTTAGTAGAATCTCACTAAATATTTTTGTTGTTTATTTATACATCAAGTCCTGGACGAGAGCCAACCTCCTCAAGCTGAATGTTAAGACAGAGGCCCTCCTACTTGGCTCCTGGCAGCGCCTCCTCACCTGAGCCGCTGACATTATCACTGTTCACGTCTGTATTCGACTCCTCACCGAGCCAATACGGAACCGCGGTGGCCTTCGTCCCTCAGCTATCATTCAAACCCCACATCTGTGCCGTGATCCGTTTCGCCTATCCCCAGCTCCGCGACATTGCCCGTCTCCACCATCACCTCTCATTGCAGGCCACCAAGACCCTGATCCACGTTTTCGTCACGCCAACTTGCCTGCTCGCTGGACTTCCCAACTCTTCCCTCCAAGAGCTGCAGATTATTCAGAACTCCGCAGCTCGTGTCCTCTCCCGCTCCAGGCTCTGGGAACCTATCACCTCCTTTGAGTCCCGTCTGAGGACCTGGCTCTTCGTCGAAGACCTTCCTCTTCTTCCAAGCCTTCGGCCCGGGTCCCACCCGCCCTCCTCCCCTTCTGACCCCCCAACCCCCTCCCCAACTCCAAGCTCGGGTTTGAAACACCCCCTTGGCTGGAACATCTTTCCGATGGGAAAGGCGCTCGTTTGTTTGATGTCATTGTTGTCTGTTGTCGTTTGTTGTAGTTGTTGTTTGTTTGTGGTGGTTTGTAGTTGTTTGTTGTCGTTGTAGTTGTTTGTAGCTGTTGTTTGTTGTAGTTGTTTATTGTTCTCGTTGTAAGTGTTCTGTAGCTGTTTGTTGTAGTTGTTTGTTGTTGTTTATTTGTAATTGTTTGTTGTCGTTGTTGTGGCTGTTTGTTTGTTGTTGTTTGTTTGTTTGTTGGCGTTGCTGTTTGTTGGTGTGTAGTAATGGAGTCTCACCTCCCTGGAGGAACTGTCTTCTCTCCAAAACCTTCTGCTCCGTGGCCAGTATCTCCTCGAACAGGTTGTCCAAGCTCATGGTCCAGAGGAGGTGGAGGTCGTGGCCTGAAGATACCTTTGATGTTGGCAAAGAGCCAGGAACTCCAGAGAGAGGGGGGGAAGGAGAAAGAGAAGGAGCGAGAGATTGGGAGAAAGAGAAAGAGAAGGAGCGAGAGATTGGGAGAAAGAGAAGGAGCGAGAGATTGGGAGAAAGAGAAGGAGCGAGAGATTGGGAGAAAGGAGCGAGAGATTGGGAGAAAGAGAAGGAGCGAGAGATTGGGAGAAAGAGAAGGAGCGAGAGATTGGGAGAAAGAGAAGGAGCGAGAGATTGGGAGAAAGAGAAGGAGCGAGAGATTGGGAGAAAGGAGCAAGAGATTGGGAGAAAGGAGCGAGAGATTGGGAGAAAGAGAAGGAGCGAGAGATTGGGAGAAAGAGAAGGAGCGAGAGATTGGGAGAAAGAGAAGGAGAGAGAGATTGGGAGAAAGAGAAGGAGCGAGAGATTGGGAGAAAGAGAAGGAGAGAGAGATTGGGAGAAAGAGAAGGAGAGAGAGATTGGGAGAAAGAGAAGAGAAGGAGAGAGAGATTGGGAGAAAGAGGAGAGAGAAGAGGAGAGAGAGAGGGATTGGGAGAAAAAGAAGAGAAGGAGAGAGAGATTGGGAGAAAGAGAAGGAGAGAGAGGTTAGGAGAAAGAGAAGGAGAGAGAGGTTAGGAGAAAGAGAAGGAGAAGGTGGGAGAGGAAGAGAGAGAAGGGAGAAAGGGGGAGAGAAGGAGAGAGAGGAGGAGGGAAGGAGAGAGAGGAGGGAAGGAGAGAGAGATTGGGAGAAAGAGAAGAGAAGGAGAGAGAGATTGGGAGAAAGAGAAGGAGAGAGAGGTTAGGAGAAAGAGAAGAGAAGGAGAAGGTGGGACAGGAGGAGAGAGAAGAGAGAAAGGGGGAGAGAAGGAGAGAGAGGAGGAGGGAAGGAGAGAGAGAAAGGAGACAAGGAGAAAGAGAAGGAGCGAGAAGGAGAGGAGAAAGAGATGAGGAGGAGAGAGAGAGAGAGGGAAGGAAGGAGGGAAGATAGACGGTTGACAGAGAGAGGAGAGGAACCGCATTCAAATTCAAATTCAAACCCCAACCGTCACCGGCGCGAGAGGGAGCCGTTAGTAGCCCAAAGCCCAGCCATCACTAGCCCAAAAGTAGCCCAATCTGACACCTTGCGTCCTGTGGGCAGCAGCAGAAGTGGCCGATTATATATATATATGTATTATTATTATGTTTTAGGGCTTTTAGAAACTGTCAGAAACAATCCTTCAAAGATTGAATTTTTTTTCGCACGAAACAAAACACCCCAATTGGGGCCCAATCTGCCCGTCAGCTCACTGCAACGCATCGTGCAATGAGAGTGGGTGCAATGGGAGTGGGTGCAATGAGAGTGGGTGCAATGATTGGGTGCAATGAGAGTGGGTGCAATGGGAGTGGGTGCATGGCTGGGTGCAATGAGAGTGGGTGCAATGAGAGTGGGTGCAATGACTGGGTGCAATGAGAGTGGGTGCAATGAGAGTGGGTGCAATGATGGGTGCAATGAGAGTGGGTGCAATGGAGTGGGTGCAATGGCTGGGTGCAATGAGAGTGGGTGCAATGGGAGTGGGTGCAATGACTGGGTGCAATGAGAGTGGGTGCAATCACTGGGTGCAATGAGAGTGGGTGCAATCACTGGGTGCAATGAGAGTGGGTGCAATCATTGGGTGCAATGAGAGTGGGTGCAATGACTGGGTGCAATGAGAGTGGGTGCAATGGGAGTGGGTGCAATGGCTGGGTGCAATGAGAGTGGGTGCAATGATTGGGTGCAATGAGAGTGGGTGCAATGGGAGTGGGTGCAATGGCTGGGTGCAATGAGAGTGGGTGCAATGAGAGTGGGTGCAATGGCTGGGTGCAATGAGAGTGGGTGCAATGGGAGTGGGTGCAATGGCTGGGTGCAATGAGAGTGGGTGCAATCACTGGGTGCAATGAGAGTGGGTGCAATCACTGGGTGCAATGAGAGTGGGTGCAATCATTGGGTGCAATGAGAGTGGGTGCAATGACTGGGTGCAATGAGAGTGGGTGCAATGACTGGGTGCAATGAGAGTGGGTGCAATGACTGGGTGCAATGAGAGTGGGTGCAATGACTGGGTGCAATGAGAGTGGGTGCAATGACTGGGTGCAATGAGAGTGGGTGCAATGGGAGTGGGTGCAATGGCTGGGTGCAATGAGAGTGGGTGCAATGAGAGTGGGTGCAATGGCTGGGTGCAATGAGAGTGGGTGCAATGAGAGTGGGTGCAATGGCTGGGTGCAATGAGAGTGGGTGCAATGACTGGGTGCAATGAGAGTGGGTGCAATGAGAGTGGGTGCAATGACTGGGTGCAATGAGAGTGGGTGCAATGACTGGGTGTAATGAGAGTGGGTGCAATGAGAGTGGGAGCAATGACTGGGTGCAATGAGAGTGGGTGCAATGACTGGGTGCAATGAGAGTGGGTGCAATGACTGGGTGCAATCAGAGTGGGTGCAATCACTGGGTGCAATGAGAGTGGGAGCAATGACTGGGTGCAATCACAGTGGGTGCAATGACTGGGAGCAATGAGAGTGGGTGCAATAACTGGGTGCAATGAGAGTGGGTGCAATGACTGGGTGCAATGAGAGTGGGTGCAATGACTGGGTGCAAGGAGAGTGGGTGCAATGACTGGGTGCAATGAGAGTGGGTGCAATGACTGGGTGCAATGAGAGTGGGAGCAATGACTGGGTGCAATGAGAGTGGGTGCAATGAGAGTGGGTGCAATGAGAGTGGGTGCAATGGCTGGGTGCAATGAGAGTGGGTGCAATGACTGGGTGGAATGAGAGTGGGTGCAATGGGAGTGGGTGCAATGGCTGGGTGCAATGAGAGTGGGTGCAATGACTGGGTGTAATGAGAGTGGGTGCAATGAGAGTGGGTGCAATGACTGGGTGCAATGAGAGTGGGTGCAATGACTGGGTGCAATGAGAGTGGGTGCAATGACTGGGTGCAATGAGAGTGGGTGCAATGACTGGGTGCAATGGGAGTGGGTGCAATGACTGGGTGCAATGAGAGTGGGTGCAATGACTGGGTGCAATGAGAGTGGGTGCAATCACTGTGCAATGAGAGTGGGTGCAATGGGAGTGGGTGCAATGGCTGGGTGCAATGAGAGTGGGTGCAATGACTGGGTGTAATGAGAGTGGGTGCAATGGGAGTGGGTGCAATGGCTGGGTGCAATGAGAGTGGGTGCAATGACTGGGTGGAATGAGAGTGGGTGCAATGGGAGTGGGTGCAATGGCTGGGTGCAATGAGAGTGGGTGCAATGACTGGGTGTAATGAGAGTGGGTGCAATGAGAGTGGGTGCAATCACTGGGTGCAATGAGAGTGGGAGCAATGACTGGGTGCAATGAGAGTGGGTGCAATGACTGGGTGTAATGAGAGTGGGTGCAATGGGAGTGGGTGCAATGGCTGGGTGCAATGAGAGTGGGTGCAATGACTGGGTGGAATGAGAGTGGGTGCAATGGGAGTGGGTGCAATGGCTGGGTGCAATGAGAGTGGGTGCAATGACTGGGTGGAATGAGAGTGGGTGCAATGGGAGTGGGTGCAATGGCTGGGTGCAATGAGAGTGGGTGCAATGACTGGGTGTAATGAGAGTGGGTGCAATGAGAGTGGGTGCAATCACTGGGTGCAATGAGAGTGGGAGCAATGACTGGGTGCAATGAGAGTGGGTGCAATGACTGGGTGTAATGAGAGTGGGTGCAATGGGAGTGGGTGCAATGGCTGGGTGCAATGAGAGTGGGTGCAATGACTGGGTGGAATGAGAGTGGGTGCAATGGGAGTGGGTGCAATGGCTGGGTGCAATGAGAGTGGGTGCAATGACTGGGTGTAATGAGAGTGGGTGCAATGAGAGTGGGTGCAATGACTGGGTGTAATGAGAGTGGGTGCAATGAGAGTGGGAGCAATGACTGGGTGCAATCAGAGTGGGTGCAGTGACTGGGTGCAATGAGATGGTTGCATCGGGTGTGGGTGAAGCGCAGTGGGTGTAATCGAACGAGCGTGGTTGTTGCAATGCGATTGATTGAGGTGATTGCTTGCAAATGCAACCCCGACAACACCAACAACAGCCTCTTTCTTGCACATTGGTTGTGATTGTCAATGACTCTCGGTCACAATAGCAAAACGCCGCAGATTTTCCAGCTTGCATCAGTTACAGAAGAACGTAGGGGTTTTTTTTTTATTTAAAAGGCCGATATAAACGCTTCCCCTTTTTTAATCGCCCGCCGGAAACATTATTGTTTTCACCCGCAACGAAGCGACTCGGCGTTTCATCTCTTCTTCCCTCACTTTGCTGGGATTTGACTTCGACCGGAACGGTATCCGGTGTTCGAGCGGAGAATGGCAGTGCAGGCAACACAGGCGTCTTCCGCCCCCACTAGAATATGCGGTCGATTCACTTTGCAGCGTATCACCCCGCGATACGGCGCTCTCGTCAAATGCAAGGATTATTATTATTATTATTGTTATTCACTGCTGCTCTTCGCTAAAGCCACTAGAATGCACTGGTGAGCAGTGCCTGAGGTTCGAGTGGATCACCGGAAGCTGCAATGACCATCGTACGGGTCGGGAGTCCCAGCTGAGATTGTCCACAAAGAGACCTCTATCTGGATCTACTTACTGCCCATTTGCAGTAGTTGGACCACCCCTATTTCGATCCCGTTCAGAAATCTTTGCCCTCCAAACGAAAACAAAAAGCCTTTGGTGTTTTGGTCAAAGTGTCTAGTAATCCTTGCGTACGATAATTGGCGCCTTAGCACGTCGTGGAGAAGTCTCGAAAGTGCTTCTTCGTGCGGCACGTGGTAAAGCGTAAGGTGTTGACTTACGTGTATTCAGCGGGTGACGTAGCAATCCTTGTTTGTTCGCAACGACTACCACAAATTGCATTTGTATAGCACTTTTTCACGTTGGGAGGACGTCCCAAGGTGCCGGCACCTTGGATATTGCATGTGGCTTCTCAAGGAAACGCTAATGTTTTTGTGGCTGGAACGTCTGTACTGTCCCTTTCTGTTTGGGTGGGCGGTGGGGTGGGGGGGTGGTCAGCCGGGTGTCTTCACGCGAGCAGGAAGCCGTGGGG